TTAGATCCACCTAAATCACCCACTTCTGGCCTCTCGCCAATGCAATATGATGACTTTCGGGGTCCCATAGGATGGCCATTTTCCATATAAACCACCCTTAATAAGGTTAAGGAATACTTGGCCATATATTTCTTTGAATATTAAAGAATGGCGTAAAATATCAGATTAACAATTCATAAATAAATTATTTATATTTATATTTATTTATTAAATTTAATAAATATCATGAATAATATTTTATTATTCATTAATTAATAATATAAATCATGAATATAATAAAATTTATTAATATTTTATTAATTTACATATAATAAAAAAAGAAGAGGGATTAATTTATATGGTATAATTCTTTTTAAGTTTTATATATTTTTAATTATTAATTTTAATAGATCTAAAAGATAAAATTAAATTAATTTTTATATTTTATGTTTTTAAAAATTTTTTAAATTTATTAAAATTAATAATTAAAAAATTATATAAAACTTTAAAAATTTATACTATATAAATTGATCTATGCTCATAAAAAAAAAAATCTCTTCCGTATAATAATAAAGAAATAAATCATTCCTAAGTGGAGAGGAGCCGCCTCCTAGCTACTGCGATGCAACCAATGTAAAATATCTAGATAATGATTAATGGGGAGGATTTGGTCCATTGAAAAATTAATTTGTTTGTGATTTTAATTTGGTTGTGAGAAGTGGAAGAAGATTTCTAGTTTTCCATATCAAACATGTAAAATTACATGTATTATAGATAGCTTGTTTGAGAGGAAAAATAATATTTATTGAGAGACCAATATTTTCCAAGTTAGATGTTTAAATTTCCTGGAGTTTATAAGCGAAATAGAGGGGCATGATGCTTACTTTTCTAGAAAATTTGAAATTTAGAAAAAAATACTAACTAATATGTGAGGACAAGTCATGATGTTTCATTTTTTACACCAACCAAAACTTTACTGCAAATATGACAAATTACCCACTTTACCTAAAAGAAATCATTTTTTTTTCCACTAACAAAAAGTTTAAAGCAAATATGACCCATTACCCACTTTGCTTAAAAGAAAAATTATTCAATTCATTGTCAGTGCAATTTTAAGATTCTACATGCATGAGTAGTTATGTGACATGTATATATATATATATATATATAATAATTTTAATTCCATTTATGAAATTAAAATATTATACTATTAACATATAAAAAATTAGCTCATACTTAAATGCCCAATTATCTAATCTTTTTATCAAAATAGAAAGAACAGCTGTACTCCATTAAATTGATTTTTTTAAGGAATATTAAGTTGATTATTGAAAGAAAAAATATATATAAAAGAGAGGAATCATATTATTATTTTTATTTAAAATTGCTAAGGTTTAAATTTTAATTAATAAAATTAAATGTTTAATATTTTTCTAATAAATTATGCAGTTATTGACTATTATGTTAATAATGCAAGAATATTAAAAATTTTCAACCAATATTTGCTCATAAAAATATCATTTTCATGAGTTTCACAAACTTAATTAAAATAATGCCAACTTTTTCATAAATAATAAAACGAGAAAATTCTTATTTAAACCCCAAACTTCAAGAAGTTCTCGGTCAACAGAAAATTTAATCAATAATTACTCATTTCCCCTATTGAAAAGCTTGGGTTTCAAACATCCCCCCATGATCCATACTTTGTATTATTTTTTAACAGCACATCATGAGAATTGTCTAAATATCTTTAATATCTTACAATAACAACTTATTCCCTTGTTTTCTTTGTATCAATTTATAACATTTTCCACCAATCTTGTAATCATTTTAAACAATTAAATATCAATCCAACTAATTAAATAAGTTCCTCTCTCAACATCATGAATTTAGCAACATAATTAGGGGTGGGGGATAATTAGCAAAAAATTTAGGGACCTTTCCAAACATATTCCAAATTTTGTTTGCTCCATTTAATGATTGAAGATAATGGAGAGACAAGACAACAATTTGAAACCTTTTTCACTCATAAGCCGATTAATAATAAGACACATGGACATGGCAAATAATGATTGGAATCTTGGATTCTCCAACCCTCTGCCTCCATGAAAGAAGCGGACTCTCCCCGTGACTCTGCCTTGGCCCCCCTATGCAGGTAAGCTCTTCGGTTTATTTCTCCCAGCAAGTCCATTCCATCACCTTTCGTCATCATGTATTCGGCATTACTTTCCATTCCCATACCTGTGTGCTTAAGATTGGTCAAGAAACTAATTACGTAAATGGTAGAAACCAATGATCTTAGGTAATTGGTAATTTAAAATATGATATAAAGATAAAATATTAAAAAAATAAAAAATAAAAATAAGATAATTTAAAATTTAAGTAAAAATTATATATAAATTTGATAAAATAAATAATTATATTTAATATTTTTTTATATTAATATGAATTATAATATATAATTTTTATATAAATTATTAATATTTTTTATAATATTAATTCATGAATTATTATAATTAATAAGAATGAAAATATTCTTTTAGAAAGTGCAAGTGATATAACCCTGGCAATCATATTTAACATGAAAACTTTGGGTTAATGGATAATCAATTGACTGATTGGAAGTATTCTTTTTTAATATTTTCTTATCTAACTTTAGAATAAAAACTAGTTTATGATGCCATATATATTTTTACTATGATAATAAAGATATAACCCCAAATCTCATATTTGTTTTTTATTGTACAATTACAAGTTTCAGTTGCTTATTCGTGCCATCCAAAACCAATGGCGTTACGATTTTGAATTTGCACGGAATTTGCTCTTTTTTTCTTTTTTTTTAATAATTTAACACTTGGGGGACCAATAGGCAGTAGCTCTCAATCCCATGTTGACAATTGGTCAATTCATACATAGTTCAATTGGGCTCCATAATCGGCCCCTTTGTTCACAGCTGGCCCAATCTTTCAACTCGATCACAACATTTCGTTTCTTAGTGGGTTAATAATTATATTAGTACTATTATTTTCAATTTTTGCTGTTAGATTCAGTCACCTAATATTATAAGATTAATGTCAAATCACAATGCAATTAGTTTCATAATATCTTATGGTAATAAAGACTTAATTTTATCAATTTAAAAATTTAAAAATTTAATTAATTTATATAATATTTTACAAAATATTATAAAATTAATTTAATTTATTTGTGATTTAAATTATAATTTTTATTTTAAATTGTAATGTCATTCATAAAAAAAGATTTTCCTTTTTTAATATAATAAATATATTGAATCTATTACTAACCCAAACCAAAATTACAACTTCACTAATGTCTGAATAAATTTCTTTCTCAAAGTTTAAATGCCAAAGTCAAATTTGGATGACTTTGAAATTAAAAAAAAAAAAATTCCCAACCTTTCTCTACCTCAGAAAGTGATTGTTTAAATCTAGCTGAAGAATAAATTTCATGAACGGCTAGATAGCAGCCTTTGTCCAATAGTACAAATTCAACAAAACCTGACATCAACCATCAGTCCGCCGTCCTTCTCGTAAAAGTTAAAATTACCAGTCAACATTTTACGCTGGTATTCATTGACATAAGTAATATTTATATTATGTATGATATATGTTTTAATTTAATTGATTTATTTATTTTTTAAAAATTAAAATTTAATAAGGTTGGAATTCGTTCCCGACGCTTAATAACTAAAACAACCATCATATTAGTTTTTAAAAATTTCAGAAAAATTTGACAAACGTGCAAGCCGTAATTTCCTAGATTCTTTTCATTTTTGTATAAATAAATAAATCTGTAATCTAAAAATCTTAGGTCAAAATGTTTGAGTGATAGCTGTGGATGATCTCTTGTTTGTTTTTTTCCTAAGCAGTTGCCACCGTTGTTAATTTATTTTCTTTTTTTTTAATGAAATTATTATGTTTAATTAAACTAATTTTAGGGAACATCCAAAATGATGATAAATAAATAAAATATAAATATAAATACAAAAGATCACCAAACATGAACAAACAATCATAGGCTCATAGCGCATGCGCCGAATGATTCTTCCTCGCGACTAAGATCAATGAAAGAAAATTTCACAAAAAATTATTCTTAAAATCTTAGGTCCATTATTAAATTTTCTTTCTATATTTTCGTATAAGAGAAGATAAATCATAAAGAAAGAACAATTTAGTGCTGAAACGGTCATAGCGATCATAACCTCCAAACCCCAATAATTCAATCAGATAATGGAATCATCTCATCCAACCCATCCCCCAAAACTCCAAAACCATCAAATCTGTGAATGTGGTTTTTGATGCCTTATCGTCCCAAGGACCCACACCGGCTGCACCTTTTCGAACAGGGTTAACTAGCTAGCTGCAATAATGCAGCAAAAAGCAATAAAGCATGTATCATTACCAATGGGGACCTAAATTCCACTTCAATTTTTGATCGAGTTGGGAGCGACAGTGGCGTCACATGCAGTTGCCTAATCTTACTCAACGCCATCAACGTAAAGCAACGGTGAATCATTGGAGCTTAAATTTCCTCCTTCATTGCCTAACTTTATCAGTTTATTAGTTAATTCTTTTGCTTGCTTGGGAGTTGCTGTTAGCAAGCACAACTCTGCTGTTGTTTTGCCATGATATGACCATTGTCACCTTGATTTTGATAGCATATACACCAATTAAATTATTTAAAAGTGAAAAAAAAAATTAATTCATATTTTAAGGAAAAGTAAAAGACTTATATATCCTTAGAAATACACACCATAATTTATTTTACCTTAATGTTCGAGTAATTTCTCAAGTCACGATTTATATTTGCAAAAACAAAATCATATTTCTATTTGGGTGCAACTGGAATGGAATGTCAGCAAGAAAATCAGATGGGCCGATAGCGAAAATGGATTGCATTAATTGGGCCCATAACTTTATCAATGAGCCCATCAAATGCCTCGATAAAAGGTTTGGGCCAAAAAAGATCCAAACAGGCCCACGAAACCCAGATATAAATCCCTAATTCATCGTAGCTTAGAGAAACTAGAGAAGAGAAAAAGAAAAGACGAGGGTGTAAGCTTGTTTTTGGTAATTTTAATTTTGTTGTGAAAGAGAGAAGCAAAATGGAAAATATGCAGGCGGTGAATAGCTTCGTGGCAGCTTATCTGAAGAAGAAAGGTTTCAAAGAAGCAGAGCAATTGTTGGAGGATCTTCAAAACAAGGAGTCCGCTCCCATCGATTTCCACAACGACCCTGAACTCGCTAAGTTCATTCACCACTTCTCCCAGTAAGTTCTATGGTAACCCTAACCCTCCAATTCCAGCTATTTTGCATTGTGTTCTATTCACTTCTTTAGTCAACAGCTTAATTTTGCATTGTTTTCTATGCAAACCCTAACTCTAACGATGCTCACCCAACACGATTATCTAAACTGAATGTGGATAAAAATTAGTCAAATTTCTTGTGAACATGAATGTCTGTTTTGGCTGTGTGGTAAAGAATGCTAATTAGAGAAATTATATCCGAGTAGGATATGAATGTTTACCTTTTTTTTTTTTTTTCCTGGTTGTATTTGAAACTGTTTGTTGTGGGTTTCTTTTCATTTTTCTTATTAATGCGCTTGTTTCCAGATCAGAGGATGATGTGGCGCGCTACCAGTATGGGTATAGCAAACTGAGGTCATGGACTTATGGTTCACTGGATTTATACAAGGTAGTCCGTTTTGATATTTGGTGTATGAGCTTTTACATCAGTGACATAAATTTATTATTCTTTGAATGTATGCAGCATGAGTTGCTTCGTGTACTTTATCCAGTCTTTATACATTCGTTCATGGATCTGGTAGCAAAAGGACATCTGCAAGAGGGTATATGTTAAAACTTACTAGACTTTCTTTTTCTCTTGTATCCTACATTGTTATGGATCTGGCAACAGTTTTGATAAGTTTGTCTCTCAAACATCTTTGGCTTTTATTTGCAGCTAGAACATTTTTTAATGCCTTTCGTGAAGACCATGAACTGATGCACTCACGTGATCTTCAAAAGTTGGAAGGGGTTCTTTCTCAGTCTCATTTGGAGGTTAAACATCCTATTATTTCTGTGTTTAACTTATATACGAGAATCATTACCCTTTATTTTTCTCCTTATCAGTTGTTGTTTCCTTAACCAGGAGATGGAATTCGCTCGTTCTCTTAGGCAGAGTAAAGTTAACATCAAGATATGTCAGGTAACACCAGTAAATTCTTTCTTTGGTGACTTCTAATAACATTAGACAAATCTCTCTTCATTTCCCCATGGACTACTGAACTGGTTGTCAATCATTTGGCAGTATTCCTATGACCTTCTGCTGCAATATTTGCACAAAACACAATCTACTGCAATGCTTGGGGTCATCAACGAACATATCAACTTCCAAGGTGATGTCATTATCATTGCTCATATTCTGAATAACATGCATACAAAAGAAGGTGTACCGTCTGATTATGGTTTTCTTTGTTTCCTTGCAGTTTCTTCTGGGCAGCCCACTTCCATTTCTGATGATGCAGAGGTTGTAACACTTATTGGGAGCTGCCAGGATGCAGCTAATCAGATAAATCAGAAAGAAATACATTGGGGCGTGAGTCACTGAATTTTTCTTATGATTATCTTTCTAAATGAATTTTGAATGGAATTTAGCACATATAATTCTCCTTCCATTAGTGAAAGAAAAATTAACTTTGAGCCTCATATACTTGTAATAGTTGCTTGAAGACTCCTTAGAAGAACGCTTGGAGAAAGCAGGTGGTTTGCTTTCAGATTCTGAAAAGACTGAAGGGGAGAACAAAGAGGGTGATGTTGATGAGACTAAGGTACATATTTGCTGTAAATTCCTGTAACAATTCCTTATTTTCCTTTCAGCATTTGAAATTATATATATTGCATGTGTTAATTTATACATGATTTTCAAGTTTACTATTGGATTAATGCACACAATTTCAGGTCTTTGTTCTTTAATTTTTTTTTTTTTTTAATTTCTTCTTTTTCTTCTTCAGAAAAGATCAGTTGAAGGTGGAAAGCAAGGTGCCTCAACAAAAAAGTTGAAAAAGGACAAAGCTATTAATGCAACAGCAAAAAGTGCTCGTCCTGAGGCTAACACAACCTCCACTGCACCACGAGTCAAACCAGAGCTCACTTTGCCCATAATGTACTTTCAGTAATTCCCTCTTTTGATGGTTTTCATCAGATGTAGGATTGATGCTTAATGTAGTGTGCTAAGCTTTCAATGAATTTAAACCATCACAGAATTATCAATTATCTTTTCTCTTTGTGAAATGAAAAAAAAAAAAGAAAAGAAAGAAAAGCTAGTGCAAATGGTGAAAAGTGTGTGGATGTGCCCCATTTCTATTAGCATACTTGTTGTAACATGTTCTTAATAGGATAAAGTATATGCATGTAAACCAAACTTAGCTATCCTTTGTTGCTTGTATAGTTTTTAAAATTATTTTTTCGTCGAGACCTCTGTCATTCATTCTGGCAATATCCCTTTTACTCTAACACGGTAAGGGTATAAATTTTGTGTATTAAGGTCTTGGAACTTTTTTCCCCAAGTGATTTCAGTATTATCATTAATGTCTGTCTTGTTTTGTTTTTCTGTGCTCCTCAGGAGCAATGGTGGGGTTTTGGGCTAAGGGCTTGAAAGTGTGAGAGTTTGGTATGCATTATTTGGTGTCTTTCCTACCAACTAATGTTTGTGAGATAATCCATCATGAAAGGGACTTTTCTGCATGTAAAATCTATGGCAAAAACTATAATGCTAATATTGCTATGCTATGCTGCATGTTATATCTTTAAATTATTGTTTCTAATGATTGCTTCAGGCCAACAGAGGTAGAACAGTCTATTCTTGAGGACTTAAGAAACCGCGTACACTTGAGTAGTGTTGCATTGCCATCTGTCAGCTTTTATACTTTCCTCAACACACATAATGGGTAACATCTGTGGCTTGCATCATTTAATGGCTATCTTGATATTTAATGTCTTCCAGTACTTATTGAGTTCTATTTAACCTCTCAGTTTGAACTGTTCATCAATATCCCATGATGGATCTTTGGTTGCTGGGGGGTTCTCAGACTCATCACTGAAGGTTGTGTCTTATATCATAGCTTGCCTGACTGAAGGTTGTATCTTTTATTTAGAAAACCTATTGGTTGCTAATTTTGATTTGTGCTGCACAGGTTTGGGATATGGCAAAGCTGGGCCAACAAGCTGGCAGTTGTAAGTCAAACAGAATTTTTATTTGTCGCCCGTGACAGCTGCTGTATCTGTTGAAGTTTTACCCAAAAAAAAGTTTGGAAATCTCTTTGGATATGACTGCAATTATAATATGCCTTTTTATAATTTTGTTTGACTGAAGTATTCCAAGTCTGTACAGATAATTTTACAAAATTGTGCTGGTGTCAGCTACCTTGCAGGGTGAAATTGATTCTGCTTCAAGTGAGCATGTTGTGGGGCCAAATGGTGGGAAAAGATCCTATACATTGTTTAAGGGTCACTCAGGACCGGTTTATTCAGCCACCTTTAGTCCTCTTGGTGATTTTATTCTTTCCTCTGCAGCAGATACAACAAGTATGTTATACAATATTGCAGTCTCATAGGGATTCTTCCCTCTCATCACTGTTCTTCACCCCTCCCCCTCCACCTTCTTTTAAATATTTTGCTCTTGTTCCTATACTCAAAACGTCTTGCAACCTTAAAAACATGGACTTGTTGCAGTTCGCTTATGGAGCACAAAACTGAATGCAAATCTTGTTTGCTACAAGGGTCATAATTATCCTGTATGGGATGTTCAGGTATGACTGATCTTCCACGGATGTTTGATAATATCTACCATTTCTAAAGTTCTCCCCCTTTCATTCTTTTGAATGAGACATTCTTTTGCTCCTGCCTCTAATACATTTCGATATTCTTTATCTCGTGCTGCAGTTTAGTCCGGTAGGACACTATTTTGCCAGCGCTTCACATGATCGAACAGCAAGGATTTGGTCGATGGATAGAATACAACCTTTGAGAATAATGGCAGGGCACTTGTCTGATGTTGATGTAAGTAGTCTTTATCTCTTTCTCTCTCTTTCTGTGATGTGCTGTTCTAAATGTTATTATCAACTGGGTAGCCATCAGAGCTTTCTAATTACTATTATTGAAAGCTAAGTACTTGCTCTTGTTTGATTTTGTATCATATTTCAAACCAGTCACAAATGGTTCAAACTTCTTGTAGTGTGTGCAATGGCATGCCAACTGCAACTATGTTGCCACTGGCTCTAGTGACAAGACAGTTAGATTGTGGGATGTACAAAGTGGAGAATGTGTTCGGATTTTCATTGGTCATAGGAGTATGATTTTGTCATTAGCAATGTCACCTGATGGTCGATATATGGCATCTGGTGATGAAGATGGCACAATCATGATGTGGGATCTTTCAAGTGGACGCTGCATTACACCTTTGATGGGTCACACCTCATGTGTGTGGACACTTACTTTCAGGTGGAAAACCTTGCTTCTATGTGTCCAATTTATATCTTGAAATTCACTTGTAAAGCAAGTTTCGGGTGATGGCACGTTTTTAATTCCTCGACATTCTTGTTTGTTGCTGGACATTCAGTTGTGAAGGTTCACTTCTGGCATCCGGATCTGCTGATTGCACTGTAAAATTGTGGGATGTAACAACAAGCACAAAGGTCCCAAGGAATGAAGAAAAGTGAGTTTCACCAGCGGAGCAATTTGCTTGTGTGATATAATCTCATCTGTTAACGTTTTATTTACATGGTAAATATTGCCTTGAATCAACAGGAGTGGGAATCCAAACAGACTGAGATCGTTGAAAACTCTGCCAACCAAGTCTACTCCAGTATATAGTTTGCAGGTAATTAATTCTTCAGATGCTTATCGTTTTCTACCTTTTATGCAACTTCTCTCATCATTCTTAGTAGGTTTGTGTAATCATGTACTTTTTGAATTTTATGTTGGAGCAGTTTTCCAGAAGGAATCTGCTATTTGGAGCTGGTGTGCTCTCCAAGAATATGTAAATCGCATTCGCACCCATGGCCAATGTTTCAGCGCTAGGGAGGAGGTCAACCAACAGAATTTAACTAGCAAGCCTATAGTCTTGCATCTGTTTTAAGTTTTGGTGAACTAACTTATATCCTTATTTAATCTAATTGTTTTCTCCTTTTTTTTTTTTAATATTTTTGGGAAAAGAAAAATCAAATGTGCCCTTTAACCCCCAAAAAAGGGGGGAAAAAAAATCCCCTAACAACTTGATATGGTGTAATATTGTCTTGTGCTTGACTTTGAACGAATATGATGTGAGGCCTGACATGTAGCTATCAAATTCGAGATGTTAACTAATGTCTTTTGAATATAAATTGTAATTACACTAAAGTTCAAAATATATTTATCAAACAGATATTTCAGGAAATTGCGGCTTTAACATGTTTAGCTAATTTGCTCAAACATTCAAAATAATTGAAAAAGAAAAGTCAATTCTACCGTTTCGTTACAAATTGCGGTTTGAATTCGAAAATTTTCCTTGATTTCTCACTGTTTCATTGTGCCCAGGCCACTTTCTCTTGCAACTAAAATCTGAAAGGTATGTGATTGATAGCTGATGCTTCCCTCGAAAAAGCATAATAAAACCATAAGGCGGGGAGATTATGAGGATTGCATGGTTGGAAGGGGAAGCCAAAGTAACAAGGAACAAATTTGTAGATTGGAAACAAGGATGTTCAATCTGGCAGGAAATTTACATATCCCGTACAAGTAGGACTTGCCTACAATATAGGGAACATTGTGATTTTTCCCCCAAAATCACCCTAAGAAGTCTCTGTAACCCTAGATGTAGTTAGATTACGTGATAGAATGGCGTACAACCGACAGATACACAGTCAGTACGCAACACACAGCTAACATCGCGGTTTTCACCACTTTAAATCAATGTCTTCTGTTATGTCACAAAACCAAAGGGTTAAGATCATGATTCATTTTCGCAGGCAAACAAACTACATGAATGTCTAAATTCAGTTGCCTGCAGATTAATCCAGAGCGCAAATTGCTAGTTATCCAATGCAATCCTATATAGAGTTATCCTTCCCTCTATATATATGATATTTATCTCTTTACAATTGAGTAGATGTATAGTTTCAAAAGGGATCCCAAAGATTAGTTTTCTTTCTCATCATCATCTGTCATCTCAAACTGATTTCTATTTCATAAAAAAAAATTGGGTTATAGAGTAGAATGTCTAATGCTGAGAATTAACTGCTATCCCTAACAAATCATGTATTAACTCAGGGTAGACTAGAATAATACAGTAACCAACAGATGCCTTTCACCGTAAATATATACGATATTAGAAGCAATGAAGATAAGATCGAGATGGCAATAGTCTTGTCGTCTTTTGTGTTGTGCAAGAGTCCCACTAGCTAGTCGTACAATTATATGTTATATATGCTTTCCCCTATCCCCCACATTCTTTTTTGCATATATTCATGGGCAACAACCTTTTTCCACCACTCGAACTAATGTTGGTCGTCACCGATGAAAGGAAACAACATCCAGATTCAGCCGTTTTAGGTTTATCAACTTCAACTCTTTAAACAATACTGTATTAGCCACAAGCATGACTGCATGCCATGAGGTTTCAGACAACCTGCAACATCAGCATTTGTCTCAAATTCAATCAAACTGTACAAGGTGTTCTTGGCTATATATAATAACAAATCACCCCTTAGAGTGAAATGATGTCAGACTGAACTTGAAATATTGCAGTAGAAATAGTAGTAGTTTAATTGAGCTTATTTCTCCGACTAAAGTTTTAATTGGTATATAATATCTCTTTCTTCCCTAAAGGAAAAGATCTGATATGTAAAGATTAAAGAAAAAGTCAGTGGCGAGTACATTCTTTAAGAGAAGAGACCATCATTTCTCCATATAATGTTGGACAGAATTAAAATTTTCACTAATGCATCGAAACAAAACATCCACTTACGAGTGATCCTAACATAACTGATTTAATTGATAATTCTAATACCTTGTTGCCGGAAAATAAAACAAGCAAATTTGGAACTCTTGCCTTGTGAATTGGAGATAGTTAACCGCAAATACAGTTATAGCAATAGCATTTTGAAGCGATAGAAGCCAATCATCGGCATTTTGATATAATCTCAAGAGAGCTAAAACTGATGATTTAATATAACTGTCTAATAAACCTTCTAAAGTCTTGTGCCTTTATTAGAAGCACTGTCAATCTTCTCTCTATAATTCCTGCAACGACAGAAATGAAAAAAAAAAATCTATGAAGACAGTCAAATTGTGAACCACTGCAAGTAAAACAAATAACAACAGTTGCACACATTTTCATTTCCACAAACTTATGGAAGCCTTAATTTCATTGACAGTTAGTTAAGTGGATACCAGGGAAAAACCCAAAAAAAATTGCAGTTTTCACATCTCAAGAGTTTAGCTGCCACTACATTCTTGAGAACCGTACATGCTCAGGTAACACGAAGCACATGCAATTGTCTAGACATTTTCAAGACATTGGTTATAAATACCACAACTTATGCCTGATGCCTCCAAATCCCAGCCATGACAAGTGGTCTAGAGTGAGAAAATATATAGTGGGCAACCCCTATATGAGAATATGTAAAAGCTAATGTCCTTGATATCACTATTCAACCAATGGATTTGGATAATCAGACAGACAAAAATTGTTTTGAAACAAAAGGCACCCAACAGGTGTAGTCTCTATTATTTTGTTTCATGAAAGCAAAGATTTCTAAGCAGGTCTTGTCCCTGAAATTCAAGCAATTACATATGGTTAATGTTTGTATAGAAAGAGTGGGTAATTATAATTCTTGTTCTTAATGAATTTCACATTCATAATAATGCTATTCAAATTTTTTCCAATAAAATGATTTTCTAAAAATACATGCATTAACTATATAATTAAGAAATTAGATGCTTAACATATCTCTATATATGCAGCCTTCCAGGAGGATCCCTTTCCTCTTCTCTTTTTCTCTTAAACCTTCCTAAACTGTTCATAAAATAAATTTCCAGATGAAATAATTTCTTAGAAAACCTAAATTTAGAGGCCAGTCATTATATAAATGCAGTTTGCCATAAAAAACATGAACTATTTCACATATTAAAAGTACTGCAGAAGAGTAAAGTTGAATTCGTTTAATAAAAAAGTCAGTAAGGAACGTACAAAAGGAGAAGGAAAAAGAAATTAACAGTTTCCAAATTCATACATACGATCAATATCCCAAATTGTAGACAAATTCAAATTGATCATATCTGCTAAAAGATTTTGAATGTACACCAATGTTATATTACAACCATTTTTAATGTACTCCACCAAAATTAAGAAGAAAGCGGTACAAATATTTTAATTAAAGTGTAGCACTTCATTGGTAAGAATTCGGGCCATACAACATGCACACGTCACTTCCATGGCTAATAATTGATTTGGTCACATCTTCATAAATCAGTTTTCAACACTCATTATAAGTTTTTGAAGTTAAGACCCCAAGATAATAGATCATCCATCCCAGCCAAAACTTTTGGTTTTCTTGGTTAAGATTAAGAAATTCATAACCCTTCAACCTAAAAGTAAAAGGCTTCTAATCTCCAGACCAAAACTTGATTTACCTTATTTCACAATAGTTCTCCTCTGTGCTTTCCTATATTAATTTGGATATACAATTGGTTCAAAACATTTAAAAGAAATTACTGCCTTCAAGGTTTTCAACATCGTCCCAATTAGCACTATAAAGCTTTGATAGCGAGCACCTTTCATAAATTATACAAACGCTATACAAAGGTCATGGCTTTCTAAAGCCTGCCGATGTTAGTCTCTTTGAAATCGATCAGACTTAGCCTGACAAAGTTCGGTTCACTCCCAGATATTTGATTTCATCACAGGAGATTAACTTATATGATTTAACAGATAGGGATCAGCGAATTATTGATTAAAAGCAATAGAAATGGAATATACTTATAATTAAGGACAAATTAATTAAGTTACCTTTTAAGTCACAAGATTGTTCTGAAACTAGAAACACAGCTCCTCATACACACTTCCATCTTCGACGCACCCGGGAGCAGCAACATTCTGCAGCAAACAAATTGGTAATAGATTATTGTGATTAATCTCCAACGGAGTTATAAAGTTTAAACAAACTCTAGAAGATGTTAGAGTTAGCAATTTAAGAGTTGAAAGTTCCAAGAGAGAATCTATCACAAGTGCAACTTCTGTATTATTCATAAAAACAATCACAATTGCAATGTCTGTATCATACCCCAGAAACCTGCATCCATATCATAAGTGCAATGTCTGAATTATTCAGACTGATCAGTTTTTATTAACTTTTCCTTCCTTTAATGCGAGAGCTCTCTTGGAAACACTAAAAGGGAAGCAGCCTATTTTAATGCTGTCTGAGGTACAAAGCAAAAGTATAGCACCTATCATTGATATTCCAAATAGATAAACTAATGCACACCAATCGGAATTGTTTCAGTACATCAAAAAGATGTGCATTCACGCTGCCATGTTGCCCCGAGATAGATAATTCCGAACAAGGAGGACGACAAAAGTTGCATGATTTTTAAGAATTAAAAGCTGGTCTAGCTGAATATATATGCAGATAGGCTGACTGAGGATCCCACAATTTGACCATCAATTCAAAGTCCATCAACTCATTTGTGGTTTTTAGAATTGGATGAGAAATAAAAATAACTTTCGGTGCACCAAGCATAAAAGCTGTAAAAGCAAAAAGCACTCAAATTATATATAAAGCAGCTCATCTACCTGTTTGTTATAATAGGAAAATGAGCAAATTATGATATCCTCGTTCATTTAGTAATTAACAGTACTCTCTATCTACTTGGAAGCATAAACTATAAGACTTAATAACATAGACCAAGAATTTATTCACTCAAAATCTCAGATGAACAAACATAAATGTGCTAAAACTTGAAAATATATATTAAAAAAAAAAAAAAACCCTCCCAAGCATTTTGCACTATTATACCTAGGAAATCTAGTCCAGCAAGAACTTAAAATTTGACCAAGATAAATTACATTGTCCTCCCTATCCCTAAAAATTTATGACTGCATACAAATATCAGCATTTCAATCTTTTCTTACTTGTTTTGAAGTACTCTTAACCTGACTTGGGGATTTCACCATTTGGTGCTGATAACCCATAACACCAAATTATACTTTTTTCGAACAACTAAATGCAAACCCAATTCATATAGTTGGTAAAAGATTCGAGGCTTCAGCTACCATCAACAACCCTTTGCTTGAGAAAAAAAGGTTGAATGAAATGGAAGATTAATAATCAGACAGAACGAAAAGGGAAATGGAATAGGGTGAGTAGATCAAAATGGATTACTAAAGATATTAATTATCATACTAGCTAAGGAGGTGAATTGCATGGAGCAAGGTTTTGCCAATGGAATGTAAACTCTGCAAAAAAGTAACCACATATGGTTAAATTGATACATGTAATCATGTAAACAGACAATGCAGTCCATTTAATTCAAGCACAATATACTTTACATTCAATATTAATTAAAAAACTTCGAATCAGAATTGAGATTAATTAAACCTATCATTGCAATTTGAAAGTTATAATTATGATAAAACCAATGTATAATATGTATATCTAATGAAACACAAAGCCTAAAAATTTCAATCATATTTCTATAGAAACATATACTCTTGATTAAGCAATTATTCCCATTTCAAATCAGTTATATATGAACTATATGTGGCTGTGATATATCTAAAAATTCAAGCTTCAAAGAGCTATAATGAACTCAAATGAAATAACAAATCTTTCTTTTTTTTTCCCTTAATGAAGACCAGTCTAATTTTGTTTACACAGAATTAACACACTAAGATGATATCTAGATGATCTTGTATGGACCAAAACCTATTTATTTTTCTCAATTTATTAGACTTACACTTGCTATATGTCTTTAATTTGAATTTTTTTCTTCTCTTTCACCATTGCAAGATAAACATTATAAATTAAAAGCCTTCGCCATCACATATTTGTAGAGTTCTTATGCTCCTCTTTTTGCGATTTTCGGGGAGGGATTATAAACTTGATCAGATTAGTGTTTTAGATAAATACAAGAAACAAGATAGATCAATCGATCGATCAATTTAACACATTGATGCACCAAATACTAATCTTTATACCACTCAAAAACAAATACATGGATGAGAAGCTCTATCTCTATTCGCAGTTAATCACAATGCCAAAATATCTTTCTTGATCAGAATTTAACACCCCCACGGCCAACAAAAAATACAAAGAAGAAAAATGAATACAATTTCATGCTGCTCAAATTAATAATTACAATGCATCCTTAATGCTTGTATAATATTGCATGTGTAATCAAGAACAAGGTATCTAGCTAGCAACAACTAGAGTCAAATAAATTATTAAAAAAAGATGATACTAATCATAGTCTCCAATAGAACTATCATCTATATATTAAAAAAATCGTAGGATTAATTGCTGAAATACTTAAGATGAGGGAAATGTCCTTTCTATAGGTATTGGCATTGCAATTAACATAAGATGTCAAATACCAATCAGTTGCATGAAATGATCAACTCAAAACAAACAATTAACTTAAACACAGTGAAATCTAATTCAGTTTTTACTGATAGTGTTTCATATATCAGTTGATTAGGCATTCATTTCGATATAAATTCACCATGGCTCCATATTGGTAATAGAATATAGTTAATTTTAGCATAAATAACAGAGCTATTGGACGAGATTCAAATAGGCAACTACTAGTTTTACCAGGACTCTCAACCTTGAGATACTATCAACAGAATACGAGATTAATTTTCTCCAGAATATTTGAATCCAGAAATCACCATATATGAAAAAACAAAGCAATCATTCAAAGCAATGCAGAACAAACTATATTATTAAGTTTCAAATTGAACAAAAGTACAAACATCTTTGGCAGCTATGTGGAATGTTTTCATTTCCCAAAAGAAAAGCCATAACCTTAAATAGTTTGAAAATTAGTTAATTGCATGCATCTTTTTACCTAAATATAGTCCTTTATAGAAGTACGAAACGCTTTTGGAGATACAAGAAATAATAAAGTCTTGGATAAAGTACGATGCTGAAAGTGTTCAAGTTTCAAAATATAGAACAACAACTACTAAAGCTAAGTCAATTCCTATAACAGACAGATGCACGCAAGTACTTTGAAAGGAAAGAAGATTTGCCTTTTACAAAAATAATACCAAAACTTTCCTGTTTAAGAAGTTTTCTTCTGAACAGACTTCCCATATCCAGAGTCCCAAAACTCAAATACCTGTCTACCTGCAAAATAAGTGTGTCTCCCTGCAAAAGGAACATATAAAAGCGAGAGAGAAGATATAGATGCCGAAAATAGTTGTTGGGAACTCATCATCACAAGCCCTAAATCCTAGTCCTCAAAGGGTTCTTCTTCTCTTCTGCACTCGCTACATCATTAAATCACAATTGAAGAAAAGAAGAACAGGTAAATGCATCAGAAAATCAGTAAAATGAAATCTGTAAATGAATTTTGACTAAATTTACACAAAAACTACCTGGAGAACATCCATTGGCAGACAGACAGTAAAACAAGCTACGTTACTGTTACAAGGGTAGGGTTATAATTAAAAACACGAATAGAGAACTCCATTTGCAACTGAGAGTAGAAGCAATCTGATTCTGCTATATTCGGGTGAAAGCAAACTCCAATCAGGAAATTTCTGGTTACTGAATATGATCGCATGCCCAGGAATAAAAAAAAAAAAAGGAAAATATGAATAAGATAAGACTAACAAGAAGCAAACCAGAAAAAGAAGAGGGTTTGTCGAGGGGAGGACCATACTAGCTACTAATAGGCAATACAGAACGTGAATGGTCCCATGCTATTCATAATTTTGACCCTAAAACCGCACAGTAATAAGGCTTACCCCAACAGTGAGTAACATCAAAAGCCACGCTTTTAAGCTATTAATTGTATATAAAACCATAAATTAATTATATTGAGAGCTATAGCTAAGGAAATAAACAAAAAGACACGGTGATCAGATCATCAGTAGGCAGCACGCACACCATATTCCTCTTCGAATAGAGTAGAGTATCTTCACTGGCATCGAATCAAGTAATCCGAGAGCGAGGGGGAGATCATATGCGACAAATCAAGCATTGGTCATAGAGAGAGAAGGGAAAGTAAGGTCATAAGGAAGACAAGAGATGAGAGTTGAGTATGGAACAAAACAGGCCGAGAAGTGACCAAAAGATCAAATTCCGGCACTGGAAGCTGACAGAAAGAGAAGTGAGCACGCAAAAGCAAAAGTATTAGGTTTATACAAATGCCTCTGTGTGCTCACTCTCTTCTGTCAACTTCTATGTCCCAAAGAATGAGATGAGAGAATACAAAAGAAGAAGAGAAGAAGATAGATATAAAAAAATGAAAGAAGATAAGAGTACTTGTACCAAAAAAAAATGAAGAAAAGAGTACCAAAGAATGAAAGGTAAAGCGTTTCCCTTATAAGGAAACAAAGCAACCACACAAAATTTACCAAAACGAAGAAACCAATTTTCACATAGACCCAAAAACGAAAATAATAAAAGGAATGAATCAGATCTGAAAACACAGTAACACCCATTTACGGAAAAGGTACTAAAAGTAAGGCCTTAAAATCCACGATCTATGCCGTTTTCAGTAACGAATGGCCAGGAGTGACTTCAAGACAATTTTAGGGTTTTTATTGATACCAAAGTAAAAAAAACCAACCCAGTAAAAGAAAAATAAAAGAACCCCCAACCCCAAGAACAAGAAGAAGATGATGAAGAAACCCTCCTTCTCTATCCTCTCTCTTTCTCTCTTCATCACCATCATCCACTGGTCTTATGCTTCACTTCTCCTTCCATGTCTCCCTCTCTCTCTCATGCAGAACGTACAGGTGTCGGTGACACGTCTTTCACACTTTCAAAGAACAACAAATCCAACAGTGTCGATGGAGAGAGACATCAACAGCAAAAACTCAAACTCAAAATCAGCATACAATACAAAAGTAAAACTCCAATGACAGAGATAGAAAAGTGAGCAGTATTGAAGATAGGTGAAGCAACACACTCTAACTCCCCCCCCCCCACCCCACATTTATATAGACAGAATTAATCCAAAAGTACTGAAAAAAAGTCGCTCCTCTCTATTTCACTTCAATTTTGCTTTGCCTTTGTCTAATTATATGCCTATCTTTTTTATTAATAAACAATAAAAAAATACTAGCAGTAACTTTTTTAATTATATATTATTATTATTATTATTATTATCATAATCACGACTTGACCGGGGGAGGGGGCGTTTTGGGGGAAAACAAAGAGTAGACGAAGCCTTTTCCAGAAAGTGAAGAGAGGGTTGTGCGTTGGAAATTTATTGGCTGGCAGTGATGTTCTAGGATATATGTTGCTGTAATGGGCCAGTGACCTCTGATTCGTTTCTGTCCGTTGATGAAAACAATTCCTGACCGTAGGATGTGGGGACCAGGGTACTTTCGTCCGTTTGTGGTCTTTGTTCTGGGGCTTCTTGGGAATTGGGCTGATTGGACTGCGTCATTGGGGGAGACACGTTTAGTGTGTATTAGATTTATCAGTTACTCCATGTTGCCTGTTTTGGTTGAGGTTAGTACAACCGCCAGTATGGACCAATCAGATTTGTGCCTGCGGAGGGTATAACTGTCTTATCAGGAAATGTTGACGTGAAAATCTATGATTTGCTCTTCCTTTTTGGGCGGCTCTAGGTTGTTGTACTAATTAGGGTTGGACGATAAATAAGCAAACATTAACCACTTTGGTTAACACGCCCAATTTCTGTGAATTACTTGATTCTTCTTTAGGGATTATTTATTGTGGATTGTGTAATCAAATCAAATGTCTATTGTTAGTTCAATAAATCAACAAGACAAAAAATGTAATCAAACGTCTAATTTAATAGGGTTAATGACTTTTACAAAAATGTATTTGTAAATGCAAGAATAAAACTCCATGTGTTTGAATAAAAATTTTAAATTCTTTTTAAATAAACGTATTTACTTATATAAAAAAAATCATAACTTGAATAATAAAAAAATTATAAATGTTTAAAATTAAATTTTAATAAAAATTCACTTTTTAAACAAGATTAATGAATCATTTGAGTTAAATCTCAAGTTTTAAATAAAGATATTATAAAATGTATCAATTAAAAATTTTAATATTTTTAATTTAGTGATTGGATATATATTTTAAAGTAAATCATGGTTTTTATTATCATATATTTACTTTTTACATTTCATTTTAATTAATGTTTAAGTTATTTTGGTCTCAATTTATTAAGTTTTAGTGTTTTGCATGAAAATATAATTATTGTTGATTAAGGAATATTGTCAATGCTTATTCACGAACTTGAACATCATGTTACTTATTATTATATGTTGAACAAAACAATTAAATCACTCTTAATTATTTGTTTGATTATAATTTTTTATATTGCATATTTGTTGTTATTATTAATTACTCATCACTGGGATTCAAGATAAAGGAAATATATACTATGAAAACATATGCCTATAGAATAAACTTTTCAAACTAGATTAAGTGCTCTTTTACTTTAACAAATTGTATATACATTAATTTAGTTATTTTTTATTGTAATACTATTTTTATTATTAAATATCTAATTTAAAATCAAATAAATAAAATTGAAAGGATTAACTTAAATATAAAATTATAAAAACTTTAATATTTAATAAATGTTGGATAATATCATTTTAAAATACTTTCATCACATATAGATTAAAGGTATAAATGATATATTAATTCTCGTAAATTATTTAAATTTAATTTAATTAAAATTTAAATTCGACTCAATCATTATCAAATCAAATTTGAGTTCGAATAATTTAATTTATCAAATAAGTCAAATTCAAATATATTAATACCAAATTCGAATAATTCACGTTTTTAATTGAGTTTTTTTATTTTCGTATATATATATTTTTATTATTTTATTTATAAAATTATTATCTTACCCTTCATATAAAAAACCTTAATCTTTTTCGCTTTATTCTTTCCCTACACTCTTTCCCTCTTATTTCCCGTCTCACCCATCCCACCAAAAACCCCATCTACGATGCCCTTTCCTCTCACTTTCTTTCAATCCTTTACGACGCCGATGTAGTAGCTAGTTAACCATCCTTCTGACGCCAATTTAGTCTTTTTCACTCCCTCAATTCCAAGCCAATTGCGCCCCCTTTCCTATCACTATCTCTCGATCATTTCTGGGTTAGTCCCTCTCTCACTCCTCGATCATTTCTGGTAACGTTTTTAGTGTTTTGGATGCTTCTTAATTATGTTTCTGAATGGTTCACTCTGACAATGAAAATTTGAAACTTTAGGATTTGGTGGTATAAGAAATTCGTGATTCAATGGGTTTGTGTTTAAAAGTCTGACTTAGCAAAAAAAAAAAAAAAAGGTTTGGTGGACGCCATTAGCTCGAGTAGCTCAAGTTTCGGAAGCTTTCTTTTACAAATCCTACTATCACATTTTTACACAGCTTCTGGGAAGAAGAAGTTTGATTTGGATTTGATTAATTTTTACACAGCTTCTAGAAAGATGAACTTTGATTTGGATTTGATTATTTGGATTTAATTTTTTAAGTTTTGTTTTCTAAATTAATTTATTAAGTGTTGTTGTCTTGAATAGTTAAATTGTGATTTTATTGTCAATCATGTTAACCTGATTTATACAGTTTCTTTAGATATCAAAGTTAATTGAGCAAATTTGAGCTTAAATTGAGTTTTATCTCAAATTGATATCGCGCTTGAAAAATAAATGAGCTTTAAGCTTGAATTTTTCAATAGTTTGAACTCAAGCATAGTAATACATTGACTCAGTTACACCCATAAAATAGATGAAAACAAAAACACATTGAGTGACAAATTTGAAAGGGACAATAGATAATTGTAATAGAATAAAACAACATAGCACAATTTAAATTTTAATATCATATTAAATATTTAATTTAAAAATAATAAAATAATTTTATTTAAATATAAAATTATAACAAATTTAATATTTAACAAATATGAGATAACATCATTTCAATGTTTATAATTAAAATATATATAATTATAATATTTACGTGATAGATCATTCAAGTGTGACGCACGTGAAGCGAAGACTAGTAGATAATAAAAAGACAATTAGAGTCAATTTGGATGCAATCGCGCCCACAGTGAATGCCGATTACATCCTTAAAAGCTATTGGAGATTCATTTGGGGACATGATGACGGCTCAGCTAAAGATATTGATCGTTTTGGAGCCCTTTTTGTTCATCGGTAGAAATTGGTTGAGTGGGGAGAATGGCCATCAACTTTGGGTTTTTTTAACTTTTTTGTCCTTCACATTTGTATTGCACAAAGATGACAATATTTCTATAATTTAACATTTTTTTATTTTATTTTTTATTTAGAAATTATAAACTTTTTATTAATTTAATATAATAATAATTTTTATTAAATTTACTTCTATTTTTTTATTAGCAAAACTATTAATTTATTTAAGAATAATTTAATAATTTTAATAATTTATTAATTTTATAAATATTAAATAATTTAAAAATTTTTGTAAATATAATTTTTACTTTAATGTTTTTAATGATTTTTTTTTTCCGTTACAATTCATTTTCTGCTGTTTTTTTAATCCAAATATATATTTCATCATTGATTTTAATTTTACCATTGCAATATTCAATCTTATTACTATAATAATTAATCTTATTTTCATAATTATTTTTAATTTTATTGGAATAAATTTTATAATTCATTCGAATAGACTCTCAATTATGACACATGAGATTGATGTATTTAATTTTAAGTTATTATTATCACTAATTGTTTAGCCAACCGAATAATAGGAAAAAAGTAGGAAATATTAAAAGTTTGTAGCATCCGATAAGAATTGGAGAAAGATGCATGCTTCAGTAGCAACCAGTGTAAATATATATATTTAGTTGGTAAACTTTAGGGGTAACAGACTGGAAAGGATTGGATTTTATGGGAAGCAGTGACCACGCCCTTAAAGCCCCCTAATGTCCCACATATCTAACTTTTCTTTTTCTCATTTAAATACTTGAAAGCTTACAACTTTAGGAATTGATCATGGACCACTCATTATTCCAAGGCCATTAATCCTTGGCTCCAACGCTCAACCCTCCACACTAGTTTCCAATTTTGAGCTTCTTTTTCAAGATGATTAGATCTTGAAGAAACGCTTAGTAATTATTAAGCTTTTTATAAATCACAATTAGAAATTAATCATAGTATATACAACTTGATCAATATTCATCTTCATGTATAGTGGCATATGTTGTGTTGGATGTGTTTTGGACAAGACATGCATTATATGGCTATATGCTTTACATTTCCTTGTCAATGGGAGAGCTTGTGTAAGTACCTTTGGCAATGACAATTGGCAAGTGGGGAACTGGACTAATAAAACCCATGTGACATGTGGCAATTGGATGCAAGGTCATTGTCTCAACTTTAAACAAAACTCTTCGCTAAAAAAATTAAAATTTAATTCAATTGACTGATATAATTATTTTTAAAATATACAATTTTGATATTTGAATCATAGCACCTATAATTTTTTTTTTGAATTCTCAAATTGTGAGCTCTTATATATATATATATATATATTTATATATATATAACTAAAGGGTTCCATTTTTCACCCGGAAGTTCTTAAACTTCTTATTGCCATTTTCCTGATTTTCTAAATGGGGATAGCGAGAGCTAATCCATTGGCAAACAAAATAATGAGAAATGGAGATAATCATAAGTGGGTTTTTGCAATGCAAATGCCTAATGCAATAGAAGCACCTTCACTATTTTGATATTTGCCATGTACCCTCACTATTTTCATATTTTCCATGTACCCTAGGGAAAAAAAATAGAGAAAAACATAATTCATTAATTCATAATCATATATACCCCAAGTTTGATGCTCTATGTTGGCCAACATATACTATATCCACGCTTGGAATATTTTTCTTTTGTGCATGCCTTTGCTTTATAATAATTGCCTTTAAATAAGCACCGCTATCTCCGCATCATATTGGTAATTTTTTTAATACTCCTTTTAAATCATGATCATGGGACATTAATTTTGCATTTGCCTAGGAATAATAATGCCTAAAGTGTTGCATTTTATTATCATTCCCAAAGGTCTGTTTGTCTGACTTCACCAAAAATTCTTTACAAAATATAAAATACCCTATACATTTGTGATATAGCATAGGCCAGCATTATGATCTTGTTGCATTTAATTTGATCACCTTTTTTCCAAACGGCCAATTGCTGCCTTATCCCACGATTAATCATAGAAGTCAAACATATCCGATTCATCTTTTTCTGCACTTTTGACCTATCTTTTATTCTTTTTTTTTTTTTTTCTTTCATAGCTTTCTCATCAGCTAATCCAGCAGCTTGAGCAGGTAATTAAAGCATCAATCTATCTCGAGATATTATATGGGATAATTGGTATCTTATGTTTACTCCATCCAATTTTATATTAATTCTTTGAGAGTAAAATTTTCTCTTTATTGGGTTTTCTTTTTCTTTGGATTGGGGTTTTCTAGAGGCCAATTGTTGCATTCTAGAAAAAAAATGGAGCCCTAAGATCAAGAGTAAATTAAGAAGAAAGAAGTACATTATATATAGGAAAAGGGCATTGAGATTGAGGATTGCATCATCAGCACAAATACCATTGGGCAAATGGACAGAAGGGAGGTCACCATCGCTTCATGAACCGTATCTTCAGGTCTTTCCGTCATCTTCTTTAAAGATACGTTATGACATTTCACATTGAAGTAACAGCTATTGACCAATAAAGTAAATCAAACGACCAAACAGGCAACAATGTATGGACAAAATAAAAAAAAGATAGTACGGACACTAACAATGAAAAAGAAGCCCCAATTACACCATCCAAATAAAATTTATAGTACTATTTATTATTATGAATTTTGAGCTTCAAAAATCAACAACCGATAAACAAAGGCAAAACCGCTTTCTTTTGCAGACAACCCTACTGGGGGGCAAGCAGATGGATGGTGCATGTGGGGATTGCGGCCGTAGTCACAAAAGTTAGAGCTAAGATATAATTCATCAAAAGAAAAAAAACAAAGGGAAAGAAGTTAATGCTAATAAAAATGAACTATTTAGTTATAGGAAAATGCTAGTCAATGAAACTTGATTGCAATGATATTTTTAAAAATATAATTAATGCATTACATTATCTTTTTATATTAGGAAATGCTATTTATTAAACTTAAAAATTTTTAATATAGTGTAAAAATTAAAAATTTATTAATTAATGTAATATTTGAAATATTATTTGTCTGTCATGTATTATTATTTAAAACTAATCATATTAAAAATGAGTATCATATTAGTTAAATAAATTTATAATTCAGATATTATATTAGAGATTTTTTTAAGTTAAAGGTATAACATTAAATATTTTATCATAATTTAAAAATCATTCATGACACATTAACTCTTTATAATTTTTAAATAAAATTTTAAATTATATTTAAATGGTGTATCTAACTATTTGTTAATGAGACTGTTAATGTAATGAGAGAAGTGATGGGAGGTGGCAAGGACCAAAGTTTAAGTGACTTTTGTTCAGTTGTTGGACGAGCACAACATATAGTGAATTTGTTGACAGCAAGGGGAAGTTGCCAGTTTGGATAAGCATATATGATGAGTATGTGAGTACATGAGCGAATTGTGATCAGGGCGATCAATGCAGTTGCTGTACCAAGTGGATAAAGTAGCTTGGAATCACTACCACCATAAATATACAAACCAAAGCTCGAAAAAAACAGTTTACCTATAATCTAACACCAAAAACAATGATCTTAATTATTCTTACATCTTAAATACTGCATAGTTTGAACTAAAAAGATAAAATTAAAGAGTGAATAAATATAAATTGTTAAAGTGGATTATCTATTATTTAATAAATATTTAATTTTTTATAATTTAATATTTAAGTTGAGTTATTTTATTTATAATGATTTGATTTTAAGTTAATACTTAATATGATATCAAAATTAAAATATTTTTTTTATTATTTTTTTTAAATTTATCATGTGATAAATTTATTTCATCTTTCATCTCCGTTTATATGTAATAGAGACATAAAAATAAATTATCTCATATATAATAAATATTTAATTTTTTATAATTTTATATTTAAATTTAAATTTTTATTTATAATCAATTAATTTTAAATTGATGCCCAATACCAATGACTAAAATATCCAAACATGGAAAAATAGGAAAGGATAAAGATTAAGAAAAAGGTTTAATGCTCCGCATGCATGCTCTAGACTCTAAAGGGAGGGTTAGGGCTGATTGATAATAATATTCTATCAATAGAAACTGAAAATTACATGTCGATTTTATTATTCCTTGACAAGTGCGTGGTTGACCCAAAGTGAACGCAGTAATATAAAAAAAAAAAAAAGAGTAGTGTAGAATTGACAACAAGATTTGTCGGATTTGAGTTCAGATGTTAATGTTAGATTCTGCTTTATCTGCAAAATCCATGGTTTGGTAAAAGGTTTGTTGATTTGATATAAGTGGACATGTTGAATTTGTTAAACATCATAAGCAAACAAGGTGCCTAGCCAATTTGCAGTAACTTGCGGCGGAATAGCTGTTTTGCTGTTTCAATTTCAAAGTGTTTGTACTACCTGACCACCAATTAATTTGTTACAAGTACGACTAAATTAAAAGCACCGGAGGTTTTTTTTTTTTTTTTGAAAAACAAAAAAGAAGAAAAATAAAGATGTGGTGACAGTGGATACAGCCATAATTGCAGACTTACAAGTATACCCTATAGTAGGAGAAAAGGCAAGTTACTAAATTGGAATTTGGTTTTTAAGCTCTCGTATAATTTTCTTTGACAGAGTTGAATAATCTGCATAGGCAAGCAACCGGATGATTATATATGTTCACTCGCTCGTGCAAGCCTTTTTTTTTTTTGTCTATCATTTGTGGATTGAATATTATCAGGACAGTTAAAAAATAAACCAAAACTATGGCTAACTTTCATCAATTCCCACAAGTTTAATAAGACAAATTAACTGATCAGTGATCACCCAAAACATGCAGGCTATGAACTTTTTCTTAAGGTTTGTAAGCCTGGTAAGCCCATTGAACCTCATCTTCTCCCCTTTTGGCCCTAGCAACGCCCATGGACTTCAACGAGGGACCTTAATTCTTAAAATTATTGGGTTCCCTTGACTTATTTTCGATCAAAACACGAAAGCAACCATGATAAGATCGTTTATTTGTTATCACATCCCATGTACTACGAATCAACTCCACCGTGGGGGCTGTTCCATCTATCTCACCATTCTGCAAAGCACACACAACCAAAGATAAGAAGCCAAAACCTCCTTGACTTAGTTTAAATCTATACGTCGAGACAGTACGCCCTCCCCCTGCAAAATCATTTGCCTCTTTACATTGGGTGACACTGAATTAGATATACAAGATAAATTATGTGATCATTAAGAAAAACGGCATAGAACAGAAGATACGCCACCGCTGCTTCGACAAAGTTTTCTGAATCTATTACATCATCTATAGAAGCAACTCTTCAATTAAAGGTAAAAAGGCTAACCCAATGTATCCTAATGCTGCACCTTAAATAACAGGAATTCCTTCCACAAAAGAAAGAAAAAAACCCCTTAACCCTACAAACACTATAAACTACATTAACTGTGAGTATTTCTGGCCACAAACCTAAGAACTACATCAAATACCAAATGCATGGCTAGCTGTGAATGCAGCAACCGGAGGTCTAAGAAGGCTGCAACAAATACTAGGATTCAACTAAGTTCCACATAGGACGATAACCAGCCCTTGGCAGTGACAATGCAGTTGAAGTAACTTTCACCTCATCTTCGCCGCTTTTTTCCAGACTTGGAATCATTTCCCTGTGCCTTGGACGAACTTGGTGATTTCCTCTTCGCAATTTCCACAAGTTTTGCTGAATCAGTTGAGTTCTCTTTCATGCTCTCACTTTCTTTCACCTTCGATGAACCAGATTTTGACTTACCAGTACCATTAGCATTAGATTTGCCACCACTTTTAAGAGGCTTACCCTTAGAATTGGAGGAAATCTTGGGGGTTTCCTGCTTGGCCTTGGCTGTCTTTGAAGTGTCTTGCTTTGACATTGTGGAAGCTTTTGGTGTAACACTTCCATCATCCTTGGATTTTGTAGACTTGGGTGCGTCACCACTGTCCTCATTCTTGGATTTGTTTCCTACATTTGAAGCAACGTCAACTGATTTACTACCACTTTTGGGGGTATGATCCTTGGATTTGGTAACATTGTCATTGTCTGATTTACTGACACTCTTGGAGCCATCTTTGGATTTGCCATCCACTTTACCATCTTCCTTTGTTTTGCGACCAGGCTTTGTGGCAGCACCTTTGGATTTTCCAGAGGAAGTTCCTCCACCCCTGGCCATCCAATATTGGAAATTTTAGAAATCAAAGAAAGAATCATATCAAAAGTTCCATTTGAAAGAATCTAATAACCTTTTTGGTGAAGCATCCATCTTGGATTTTTTGCTTGGTTGATCAGCTGTTTTTGCTTTCTTCTTTTGAGGCCTGTTAATGAAAATCAAAACAAGCAAAAGGAAAGATAAAGCCCAGACAAGAATATAAGACAAATAAACCAAAGAGCCCACGAATCCAACAAGCAAATGCAAAGCTATACCAAATATAATAATCCCTAAACCTAAGTAAACTCCAGCATTCACATAAAATTAGCATTGCTAAAGAATGGAAGATGTATCAACTTAAACTGCACAAACAACCAAGCAAAGTTTCATCGGGCAAGGCCAAAATACACAAAGACACCATCTAGAGCCAAGATTGTGATGCAATCAAATTTGACAGTAATTGGATGATCACAATAGGAATCACCTACATTTCAGATGAACCATCAGGACTTGGATGATCAGCTGCTTCTTCCTGTTTCAATGAAGTATTAGAAAAATAGAATAAACATGAATGGAATAAAAGTTAATTATCTACAAATTAGAAAAGTGCCCACCTCATCTGACTCTGGCTTATCTTCAATCACCTCCCATTTTTCTCTCTTAAGATTTAAAATTTCTGTATCACCATCATTATAGTTCACCTATAGACAAATGGAAATGAAGAAAAAATTTAACACATTCTAGCCTGATAGTTAGAGGGAAAACATCTGGTAACATACAAAGGAAAAGAAAAATATAAATGGAAACTTGTATCTTATTTGATGTGTCACCTTGTGCTTCTTTTTGAGAGAATCATACGAATGAATAAAACCTTCATAGAACCTGGAAAAGAGCAACATACATTAGGCGAAAAAGAAATTGAACCATAATTAAAGTCTCACATACAAGAAAATCCCCTATGTATGTGCATTTACATGATTAGGTTCCTTAACTTCAAGGAGATGAGATGCCATTTTGTCAGCAGGAAAGATGCGTTTAGTTTCATTCCATTCATAAGAAACAAAAGATAAAAAAGATAGGTGGGATGGTGGTGTCTTATCTTGGTTTTTGTATTATCATATTCTAACTCTCTCTATTTTTACCTTATTCTTTCAATTTTTCTTTAGGTGTTCTGTTTTCAAGCGTTTCAGTATCATATATCTTTATATTCTAACCAGTTTTTTACACACTCAAATCTTATATTTGCACACACTGACATATTTGAAGGAGAACGCTCTCCATTAGCCAATTTTTTTTGGAGCAATTATAAGATTCAAGTTTGTGCGAAAAGGTAAAAGAAGAAGTTTACAAAATGGTAAGAAGTAACACTAGAAAGAAACTTTAATTCATTGACCTTACAATTTGAGACAAACTGTTATGCAACAGAGGGGGGGGGGGGAGGAAGAGAGGGCGTGATCAATGTATATAAGCAAGGAAATTGGAAGTGGGTAATGTATACAATCCCATACATGCATACACGTATAAGATAAAAGATAAAACAAACAAAATTTCATGGTTTATATTTCAGATATAACACTTGTACATATTTCAGATATATACTTACGCACGGTCTTTGGGCCACCAGACCTTCACCTTTAAGCCAACCAGATTCTCACCATATTCTATAGAATCAGATGCCTGACGTCAATACAAAAAAGAAATCAGGTGTCTCCAGAAGAAGGATATGCAATATCATTGCTGAACCATGTTCAGATTGCAGCTTGCATGGGCAGAGTCAAATAAAAGGTTGACAATATCTCATACAGAATTATTTGAGCTTATATCCTCCAAAATCTTTCCATAATGCAAGACAAATGAGGCAAGTAGCTATGATAGAATTATTTCAAGTAAAGATGTGCTTAAAAGTAAGGAGGGAGGCAAATAATACGAAAGACAGAAAGAGAGTAGATGGGAAAAAAAAAAAGAAAGAAAGAAAGATTAGCTAAAATTAAATGCTTCTAGTAAAGCTAAAGGTACAATAAAGTCAATCAGCAGCAATATTGAGAAGAAAGCTAACATTAGGATTAAGAAAAGATAAATGGCCTGTGAATAGCAAAACGATCGTCAAGGATGTGAGAATGGAGACTCTAATAAGAGTTCAAACCCATAAGGATCATCATAAAGGCCATATTATCGCCCGTTTTATTTAAAATCCAACCTACCGAAACTAAAATACACCACCATTAAAATATCATCTTGAAAGATGCAAAAGACGCATGAAAGTGTAAAATAAATGCAATCTCAACAGTCTTGTACTTAGAGAGACTTACTTTTTCTTTACTCAGGGTATGCTTTCTCTTGGAATTTGTCTTAGGGGTCTCCTCCATGTGAGAATCATATTTGTTTGGCTTCACTGACTTCGGAGAAGCAACCATTTCCTAAATAAATAACAAGACGACAATGATTCCCTTGATCAAAGGATCTAGAACAGCTAAATAAAATAAATAAATGAAGCTTTAAATAAACAACAATATTAATAGAATAGCTAAATTACAACTTAAAAGCCAAAAACAAAGCACCTCATCATCATTCTTGGTTGATGTTTTTGTTCCATCCTTATCAGGAACAACTTTCCCCCGAGCTCGCTTTTTCTTATCCTCCAGTTGCCTTGAAGAGGATCCATCTACATTATTACTGCTAGAATCTACCTTCTTTGATGACTGCTTCAGTGATTTTGCCTCTGAATCACTTGCAGTGCCACTTTCTTTTTTAGTTTCATCTACATCAGTAAGAGCATTATCCTCGCTGGAAACCACAGTAGCAACCTTTTTCCCTGGTCGTCTATTTGTTTTTGCTTCTGAATCACTTGTCCCTTCAGATGCCTTCTTAGAGACATCATCAATAGAAGGTGTGATCTCTTTGCTCAAGCTCTCTTTTCTTTTTGGCTGTGCAGCCCTTTTAGAATGACTCTCATCAGGTATAGTCTCACTTGGTGTAGGGGAAGCAACAGCAGTTGATTCATCCTCTGTTGCTTTTGGTGAGGAAAGCTGAACATCTGTCTCTCTTTTATTTTCCGAGGATAAAGCCCCATCAACAGATGGATCCTCACGAGGTAAACCAGCATCATACTTGCTGTCATTTTTCGGGTCTGTTAAGGTCTCATCTTCCTTCTCATCAACATGAGAGCTGTCAGATGGTTCTGTAGATTTTGAATCAGATTTCCTCCCCTTTTCCTGGGTACTTTGCTCCAACTTAGAATCTGAATTGATCAATTTCTCAGCTTCCAATCTATCAGGTTCAGCAATAGTTGATGTATCATCATTCTTGGCCTTACCAGTAAGATGGTCATCCTCTTGCTTCTTTACAGAGTTCAAATCAGCCAATGAGTCCTCTTCAACAGTTTGCACAATGCCATTGCTAACTACTGACTTGGGAGATTTTTCATTTGCAAGATCAACTTGTTCAGTTGAAACAGCTTCTTTAGGAATCTCTTTATCCTCCTGCTAGAGAATTTGAGGATTTATAAATCACTAATTTCAACCATTAAATTCTAACAACAAAAGTTGAATATAATAAAAAAAGGAAGCACTTGAATCCACACACACACACATATAGAACACTGAGAATTGACAATAAATATATGAAACAAAACGTGCCTGGGCTGCCCTGCCCAAAGATGCTTCTGCTGGTTTGCTCTCATCATCCTACAGGAAATTAACCCAAAAAAGAAAAATTAAGGAGGCTAAATCAACTATATGTTCACCTAAGAAGGCATAAAAGATATCAGTAAGGCATCAACACAAGGCAAAAACTTGTCCGGATTTGATGGATATCTTGAACAAAAGAATTGATAAAAGTAAACACAAAAAGACCAATAACAAGTGTCATACACAAATAAAAAGCTTTAAACCTTATATAATCAAGCAGCATATAATCTATCTGCAAAAGATGCAGAGAGGAAATGCATACAGAAGCACTGCACAAAATGACTAAATAACTTCCCTCAAACAAAAAGGATTTGTGGAATTATGTTCAGATACAAATAAGATAATTACCACGTGTTTTTCAGTAGCAGCATCCTTCTGCTCCACAGCACCAGCTGTTGCTTGGCATATAGAAGCAACTACACTACTATAATCATCAAAAGAAATTCCCAAGCTCTCTACAGCTTGCATTAGGTAAGGTTTCAGCTTTGATGCACAGTTCTCAAGCACTCTCTCTGCCAACCTCTGAGCAACAGGAAGAACTTCCTGAGAGGAAATGGATGCCCTAGGTGAATTAAACAAGATTGTAGAAGAAAAACAAAAGGTAGCAAGCGACTCATCTAACAACAGACCTCATTATCCCTCTTTACACTAGATAAGATTGGGAAGAGCAGCTCCGCAGATATGTCTTCACTTTCTTCCAGTACAAGGGTCATAATGGTCACCATTGATGTAAAGACAGCCTCTGCATGATAATCCCTGAAAAACAAACGAAAAGAATCATAAGGAAAATAATGGTTTAGAATGCATGCTCTGCATAGCATACTAAACCACTTTTTTATTCTTTTTCATAATAGTACTGTACTCTAGTAAAGTAGCCTTATATTAGGAAGAATAAAACAGGATGATGACAAAATTTTGAACTGAGAAACAAGCCCCCGGTACACAAAATCAACCCAGATAAAGCCATTACCAAGAGGAAAAGAAACACAAAAGCTCCTAGAAACGAAGATAGACAGATTTCTCAAAAGAGGACTTAAGCTTTATTGCAATTAGCTGGAACCAAAGATTTGGAAATCAATATGTAAATTGCTGGCCTTCCCACTGTCTACCAAATCTAACATAGGCACCTACTTCATGAGAACTTTAAGTACCAGAAACTCAAGAGGGATCATAATCTCTATTTTCAAACACCTATAAAGCAGTCTATCAATTTAAACCCACATTTAAAAATCGACAGCGATTATTGATAGCTTAATATAGGAAAACATTTTCTGCTATAACATAGATTTAAACCATGACCAAGACAAAGAACTGAAAGAAGAACATTTTCAAAAGCAATAATCTTGTAAAAACTTAAAAACTTACAAATCAGACAGAAGGTAGGAGACAATAGCTGAAGATTTACGTTGATGAACTAATGTCAACAAGAGAATGAACTCTCCAATCAACTAGTTTTTACCTTATTGCCTTAAGGAAATGCTGGAACATCTCAATGATTAGTGCATCACATTCGAGATCCAACATCACCACACATGATCTGACTTTGGCAACAGTTTCAAGAATCGAGGTCCTCTTAATGAATGAGCGGCTGGACTTGTCAGATAAATTTTTGAACGAAGATACAATCAGTTGAAAGACCTCCTGCATACACATTAATAGGGATCAATACTTCAAATGACGAAAATGGTTTTAAAATGATCATGATCAACAAAAGCATCCGGAAACAATTAATTCAAAGTACCTTCATTTGCTCATCATCATAAGGAGCATCGGGTGCAGTTATCCTTGTTATCTCACTGATACAAGCAGCAACTGCAACTTTGACATCAACATCAGGATGTCTGAAAAGTTGCTCTGCAACCAATGCTTTGAGTGATGGAGAGAGTGCATTTTGCATTGATTGGCTCGGTGATTGTTCCACCCTTGAAAGACAACTCTCAACTTGCTATATTTACAGAGGATAGAAAAGAGTGGACAATCATCAATGGAAAAAGCATCCAATAAAAAGCTCTAGCATAAGGCAAAACATGAGGGATACTAAAGTACCTAAAAATTCACAATCAGTTGATTGTCCCAGGATTCATTAGGAATTGCCCAAAAATCATCTATTGATCAATAACACTCTATGAAAAGAAACAAGCTTGAAACAAAATATGGCCAACTGCAAGGGTACAGTTGGCAGTGAACAAAAGCAACACTTTAAGTGTCCCCTTGTCAAATAGGGAGACAAAAGGGGGAAAATACTTTAAATCATTCTAGTTCAAATAGTGTATAAACCAAAGACAAATTTAAAGGTATCTAACACCCCATCATCTCTAATTTGCCATACTACTAAGCACTCAGCAAAAACCCATCTTTGAAATCACACTGCGATTCCTTAGATTTCTATATTCCTAAAGGGTCATTCTACAATGAAATTGATACACAGTTTTCTTGCAGCCACTTATGCAAAAGCAAATTGTGAAACCCTAACAAACGCTAAATCTAAGGAGATAGCTTAAAAGAGACATAGATCCCAAATAAACAATCTACCGAAGGATGATGAACAGTTGCCCAATTACCAACGTTTTGCATATCCACTTCAAGGTTTTCTTGCTTGCCGTCATGAATATGAATAACCTTGTCTAAAAAGGGGATGGCACCAGAGTTTTGTGGATTATCACAATTCCAGAGTCTGCTTTAAAGTTGTTATCATTTGTAAATAGAGTTGGGGGGGAGGCAGGAGAAAATTGAATAGGTTGCAAAGACCATAATAATAAGAGATGCTATCAAGTGTGGAATTGAGCTTCTGTTTATAATATGCATTCATCGTGGATTCTAATAGCTCCCTTAGTTAGAGACTAAAAATAACTGCAGGACAGATCTTCATATAGGTATAGAAGACAATGAGATAAAATTCATTAAAAATAACACCATTTGCTATGTTTCGTCCTTTTAAGGAAACACACGATATTTACAACAAAGAATGCACCGATTAATATCCTTTAAGGAAAAATCAATATTTACAACAAAGAATGCGCCATTTAATATCTATGTTTTGTGCAAAAAAAAGTTAATCTCACATGTCCAAAAAAATCCTTCTTTATTAGGAATGTTTTCATACAATATCTACACATGCTTTCCATATTAACTTTTGATTCTTTTAAATGCCATCACAAGTCATTCATTAAAAATTTTACCTAGCCAGTCAGAAATTAATTGCCAAACATAGTTCATGCTTAATTAACCAAACAGATAATCAAGGATAACAACTATACAAGTTCCTGAGAATTCACAAACCTAAAGCCTGATATGGAATTCCCTTTAGGCAGAATCAAGACCGTTACGCCGCGTATAGACAAGAAACACGCGCGAAACACTCACTTAAATGCTGCTCGCGGGCAATTTTGAATTTGAAGGAAATTCAAACTTCAAACCATTTCATCCAAATATTTGCTACTGCATAGCATTTGCATCCAAACACACATAACATTCTAGAATTTAAAGTCTGGTAAATCAATCCCATTGTACAAATCAGACATTTAGCAAATTCAAAAACATAGACATAGCAATATATCTACAAATATATAAAGAGAGAGAGTGAGAGAGAGAAATGACAATAGTTAAGAGTGTTAAACAATATCCATGAACGAAAAACATTTTTAAACTGATTCAAGCTTATAACAGTAATGGCAGAAGCACAATTAAACACGTGAAAACATGAAAAACAAGAAAATTTTAGAACAAAGGTAAAACTAGATCACGATGGGGAAAATGGACCTAACTTTAATAACACAAAACCAAAAATCACACACCAGAAAAAAAAAACAAATTTGAAACAGCAAGCATAATAAAAGCAGATAAATTAAAGAAAAAAAAAAGGACTAAGAGTGAAACGAAATTAAGCGGAAATAGTAAAAGCAGGGATTAGGGATTACGTCAAGGAGAGGGAGGAGCTCATCAACTGAAGGAGGAGGTTCAACAAGCCTGTTCCCAGCCTCCATTAACTGTAGCTCCAGCTCTTTATCAGATGCCGCCATAGCTATTTCTCTCTATGAACAAAAATATTTTATGTACCTAAATATACAGAAACAGATCTTTAAAATCTGAGTCTAAGGCATCGATTTCACACCATTAAAAACCTAGAAACTCACAAGAAAACCACAAATCGAAAAGACGAAAGGCAGATTCAGCGAGAGATAAAGGGGATTTACTCGTGAGAGAGAGAGAGAGAGAGAGAGAGTTAGGGTTTTCGTTGTTTCTCGGGAGCGAGAAAGAGAAATTGATGAGTGATTTCTTTTTCTTTTTTTTTTTGTGAATAAAAACTTTTGCAGAGATAATAGATAATACTGCAAAAAGAAAAATTTATAAATATTTTAATTGTTTTTTTTTTTCTCTCCTTACTCCCTCGGACTTTTTTTTGTATGCACTTTTTGTGCGCTTTAAAGAGGTGTGGTCGGATTCCACAGTGCTTATGAATTGAAGTTAAATTACACGCTTCAAATCCACCTTTAGATTTTCAGGATGTGGGGACCATGTGGGGCTTTTTGGACCGCTTGATTTTATTGTTACCTCATTTGCTTTCATTTTTATTCTTTGAAATGACATTTCTGCCAGAAATGCAATTTTCGAACGTTATTTTATAAAGAAAATTATTTTCATTTTTTATGGAAATACAACTAGGCAAATTTTAAACAAATTATTTACCAAAAAAAATTTCTCAAAATATCAAGAATTTGTAGCGTTAATATTTATTATGACCATATATTTTAGTGTATGGACAAATTTCACTTTTTTCCTTTCTAAGATTAAAAAATAAATATAAAATAAAAATGTAAGTGAATGAATAAAATAATAATCTGTCAATTTTTTTGTTCTTGTCTTTTAACAACGTGCACATGCATGCATTCACGAGTCGAATTTCAACCGTGATTTTATTTTTTTGGTTTTTAATTTTTAAATTATGTTATTTAGCCTCTTAAAGACATTCATTTTGATTATTTTATCAAATTATTCATAACAATTGAAAAAATGATCATGTGACATGTCAAAAAAATATTCATATGTGTGTCACGTATGTTATAACATTAATGAAAATTGAATTGTAACCATGTAAAAAAAGTTTGCGAATCAAATAAAACAATTCAAAAATTAAAGATTTACAGTAAAACAAAAATAAAAAGGTTAGAGATCATAGATAGAATTTATCCATTCAAATTATAAGCAACGTTTATTAAAAAAAAAACTGTTGGCGAATTATTAAAGATATTTAAGAAATTTAAAAAAAATTATAAAATCTATCTAAAAATTAATCCCATCCATGCAGGTCAAGCTCGACTCGTTCAAGCTGTAGATATGAAATTTAAGATTAGGTTGGACCTAAGTTATTGTTTTACTAGTAAAAAATTTTATATTTAAATTTAATTATAAAATATATTTAAAATGTTCAAATATTAATCTAAAAATAATTTTTATTAATTTTTATTATGATTAGCCAATTCGAACCTCCATGTATAAATTGATTCAACTTCTTAAAAAAATTTTAAAAGCATCAATTAAGTTCTATTCTAATCCAATCTATTAACACTTTTCGATATAAATGTATAACATATATATCACTTTCCGTAGATTTGATTGTAAAATTAAAAGAGATAAATTTTATAAAAATATATATAATAATTTATAAAAATTATAAAATTGATTCTACTTAAATTATTAAATCTACAAAAAAAAAAAATAATATACAAATTTATTGGAAAGATGAAATCAAAATCATTGAAGGAGATACGACAAAACTTTTCTTATTAAAGCAAAAACTCAAATAATTTTTATTCTTAAAAAAAAAAAAAAAAAACCAGATGTAGTCGAGTAAAAAATAGCAAGATATTAATATACTTATTTGTTTTATTTTTAATTACATTTTTAAAAATATATATTTATCAATTGATTAAAAAAACATGAATATTATCACAACAACATAAAATAATTAAACCTTTTCACCTTGGTGTAACGTAAAATTTTTTAGACTTCATTATATTTCAATGATTTTATTTACTTAGTTTTTGTTCAGGAAAATAACAATAATATTATTTCTTAAATATTAAAAATTGAATTAAAAATTTTTAAGTAGCAAAATGCATAGATTTCATCCATCATTTTGCACAACTCCATTTCATGAAGAGGACGTCAAATTTGGTAAGAGTTTTGTACGGCAATGATGAAATGGCATCCAAATAAATTGACAGCGTCATTGCCTTTTCAATAGTTTCTTTTTTTGTTTTGTGTTTTTTTTTTTTTGGTCGATTGGATGAAGATCCGTGAGATTCTCGTGAATGGCACTGTGGCTCCACGTATGGCATTATTTTATCTTTTTAATGGAAACAAAAATTATATTCTTTAGAGGAAAAACAAAGTGGGTCAAAGGACTCCCATCATAGTGATTTTTTTATTGGAATTTACTTTTTTATTCTCCAATAATTTATCATAATTAAAAGATGATGTCTTTATTAATGGCAAAGATTATTTTAGAATAATTCAGAGGTGATAATTTATATGTAACTCTTCTTATTCGTTTTTCCATGTGGACTTTCGAATGTCATGTTTTACGGATACAATTATATTATAATATAATTTTTTCATTTTTATTAATTATTAAAATAAAAAATTATATTTGATATATATATCATTTTAATGAAATGAGTTAACAAATATCATTTTATTAATAAATAAATTTTTAAATAATATTAAATTTTTAAATATTTATATATTAATCAAATAATATCATCAAATTTATTGATAAATATATATTATTAACCATATATAAAATTTATATCATTTATATATATCTTGATAGTATATAAAATTTAAGCTTTTAAAATAAATCTTAGTCTAAACGTAATTCAATAACCTCTAACATCTATTATGAGACGATTCGAATCTAATTGCTAATAATCTCCTTTAATAATAAAATTAAAACACTATTCATGCCATTGTTCACGCCTGTCCAATGCATCCTCTACAGGTACAAAAGATTACGACAAATGCAAGTTGACTAAGACGCATCCCACGGTGTTTTCTTACAAACAGCCAGGCAAAAGCATGGGAGCTCCATATTGCTGGTTGTCCTTACAAGCCACTGGATGTTATTGGTCGAATTTAAAGTTAACTAACATACATTATTGGACATACTATCAATTTTATTCAATTTTCATATCAAGTTATCAACCCATTGTGTAAGAAGGTGTAGGTAAGTTAATTACGGTGGTCTTGGTCTTCGTCATCATATTGATACTGTTGGTGATCCCTTGGGAGCCAATGCCACTATCCTTCAAACCCTGCCACATACTCAATGGTTAATTGCAGTCAGGAAAGCAAAATTCAACAGTGAAGAATGGACGCGTTTGCTAGCCTCAAATAACATGGAAAGCTAGCAACAGGCAACAATATTGGATGACAATTATTGGGATCCAGAAAAGATATGGTTGCATACAATTTTGGGATGATAGGAACCAGTTATTTTTCACCCAAAGAAAAAGATAATGTTTATCTCATAAGTCTTAATATAGAAACATCGCAAATGGCAAGTGCTTTGCATCAGTTTGCAAGGAATATGGAAGAAAAAATCACCTGAAAAGGAAAATGATCTGGTCCCCGAGCTGGAGCTGAATTAATCTGAACTGTACCAGTCTCCATTGCATCACTGATCAAAATTGCTTTGTTTATGTCTCTTGTGAAGACACAACCCTGCAATTACACATCAACTTAATGTTTAAAGGAGAAGGAAAATTTGAGAACCACCCTAGCAATTTGAACATTAACATTTTAGTAGCAAATTTACGGAAGTATATATTTGACTCCCTCGTCTCCATGAACTTGAAGTGAAAGTACATATGTTTAGGACACAAATTGATAAAGATTAATTGTTGTACCTGCAGACCAAAATTGCTTGCATTACAATGATGAATTCCTTCTTCAACTGAGGTTATCCTTATAACAGGCAAAACGGGACCGAATGGCTCCTCCCATGCTATTCGCATATCAGGACGGACATTATCTAATAATAGTGGCCATATGAGGTTGCCCTCCCTCTTGTACTCTTGGCAGAATGTAGCCCCTTTCTGCTTGGCATCCATGACTAATCCTTCAATGAAGTTAGCAGAGGATTCTGTGACAACCGGAGTGATGTCACAATCATCTTCTGGTGGGCCAACAGTCAGTTTAGCAACTTTAGCTTTAACTTTCTCAACAAGAGCATCAGCCACAGATCCCATGACCAACACAACCTTCACAGCAGTGCATCTTTGACCACTGACAAATGACAAAGCAAATTGTTAAATATCAACACATCCATGCTATTTGCAGCTATAGCTACTAGAGAGAAGGCAGTTGTTACAATGTATCTCTGATTCATCCTTACAATTGAAAATTTTGTACAGTTATATTTTTCTCCATCAGTTTGAGCAGAAATAGATACATTATATTGTTGCAGAGGATGAAAAGTGTGTTGATGCATTTCTTTTGGAAGAAAATAACAAAGTAGCAAAACTTTCTCAACTTGTGGGATTGTTCAGAAACTATGTCCAGAATACAGAAACAAGTAGCAGAATACTGGATAACACGATATGTCAGTAGATTAATCATACTCAACATAAAATAAAAATGAAAAGAATCATTGAGTCAATTCTGACACAATTAAAAGTGTTAAGCATTATTTACTTATTTCTCTCACCTGTAAGAAAAGCCTCCTTTCACAATGTTAGCGGCTGCCAAATCCAAATCAGCATCTTCAAGTATGATACAGGCATCCTTGCCGCCCAGTTCCATCTGAAGGGGAATCATACCTGCTTTCTTTGAAATTGCAATTCCCGTGTCTCCGCCAGTGAAGCTGAGTAAGTATGCTATTTAGTAGAAAAATCGATATGCAAATTAAAGAAACTTGGATCTATATCTAGTTTTAGTTTCCAACTAGAAAGGTTGCTTAACTCTGCACAACACAGTATAGTACCATTTAACCCACGAATCAGAACAACAGAACAATGTAAATAAGCTTATTTCGTTTACCATGGTTTGACAAGATCATTAATTTGATTCCTGTCACATGCAGTGTTCTGTTACTGGCAACATATAATCTTCAATCAACATGTCAGGCAATCAATGATATTTATGGAGGACGTTATCTCAAGGTGATTAAGAAATTACCTAATACAGTTGACTCCGGGGTGCATTGTGAGGAAGTCACCAATCTCGGACCCTTTTCCAGTAACACAGCTAATCAGACCTTTTGGGAAACCAGCTAAATGAAAGCAGTGCACCATGTGAAGTGCAGCTACAGCACCCTGCAAGAGCAAGTAATTTTGAGAATAACTTTACCATTAATTCAGTTAAACATGGGAGAACTGAGAAGCATGGTTTATATATGAAATGCACACTTGACTATTTTCTTTGCAATGCAAAGCAGATTTATATGAACCACCAAGGGTTAAAACCATACCTGGGTTGGAGGCTTCAGTACAAGAGAATTTCCAGCAATAAGTGCAGGAGCAATTTTTGAAACGGCAAGATTGACGGGATAGTTGAAGGGAGGAATAGCTAAAATAACCCCTAGAGGTATCTGCATTTCCAAATATCATTCTATCATTTGTGGTTTACAAATCAGAAATAACATTGATTTCAAAGCAGGGGCTGAAAATCAAGAGATAAACAGCATTTCTTCAAAGGGATAAAGAGAACAACACCAAAAATTCTCGTTTCATATCTGATGGAATTCAAGCAGTCACTTCGGCAATAAATAGGCCAACAAGCATCAAAAAATCTTGTCAGTTTCATGCTCATAAAAAGATGAATCATGTTAAACACAACATTATCTAACATCTGGTATGCAAATAGCTGACCATGTAAAAGCCCATTTTGGTTCCTTGCTTCAATTCTATTAAACAATCATCATCGATATAAAAGTGCTTGGAGGAGACTGTAGCCAGACCAATCCAGTCATTTCTAAGCTTAGACTAATTCTATAAACAATGATCATCAATATTTGATGCATCTGTGTATATATATTTCTGTTGAGCCATCATTCATACCACATTTTACATAAACGACAACGATGCAGCATGTCTACCTTCCACACCATATGACCTTAGCCAATGCCACCGTTTACCATGCACATTAATTATTAATCTTAATCTTATTGCTTATGCAGATGAAGAAAAATATAAGTAGGCAAAAACTGGCAGATAGCCTTAAATTACAAAAGTTGTTCTTTGAATATTTTAGGAAAAAATGAGAATCCGGGCAAGAAAAGGGGAACAAACAAAAATAAAATTATTATATGCATAAAGACATCAGCAACACTCAATTTACCTTTTATCTGTAATCTGCTGACATATATACGCATGCTGGTATCATTCTACACTTGTTTACTGAAATAATCGGTAGTATATTAAAATATCTTTTAAAAAAATTTTTGTTTGAGTTGGTCAAGGATTCTTCGGACATCCCATTACATATTTTAGTCCCCCTTAGAGAGTACCGAAAAGACCTTGGGCTTCCCATGTGGGAATCGAACCAATTAACTGAAGCCTCTTTCTAGAAACAACACTTGGCTAAAATGTGAAATTTGAAAAAAATGGGCGGACATACCAAATTATCTAAGTCAACTGATACATAAATTTCTGAAGTGAATCACCTTTGAAGTGAGGCAGTATTTGGTCCTATCATTTCCTGGAAAACTATCAGATACCAGAAATTTCCCTTCACCAAGTATCCTGACCCCCTCTTCCGCACAGTATGAAACCAAATCCCCAGACCTTACGACCTATTTAAACCAAATACCAACAAAAAGTTAGTGTAAACAAACAAAACATCAAAAGAGAGAAAGGCATAAACACAATACGAATAGATGAAAATTTTCTTTGTACTTCAGTTACTGCATCCTTTGCTGGTTTTGCAATCTCTTTGACAAGGCACTCTGCAATGGGATTCCTGTGCTCTTTCAAGATAGCAGCTGCTTTGTGAAGTAACTCTGCTCTTTTCCAAAGTGGAGTCTTTGCCCATGACTTTTGAGCTGTTTTAGCAGCTTCTATGACCTTGTTTACTTCTTCCTGAGTACAAGCTGATCCAAATCATGTGAAAAACAAATCAAAGACCATGCAGAAAACCCAGTTAAAGATTTGTAACGATCATGCCACAACTTTGAACAAAACCAGAAACAAGTTTAAAAAAGTGAAAAAAAATAGTGATCATCAGTGAACTAAGAAGCGAAAAAGACCTTGGACTTTGAATTGAGTCTTTCTAGTGGTAGGGTTGATGATTGGCACTGACTTCCCTGAAGATGACTTCTTCCATTCCCCATCTGAGTAATACTTGAACACACCATCTCCATCAACTAGCGCAGCAAACAACCCAGTTCCTGCCATTGTGCTTTGATCTAAACTAAGCTCTCTTCTAGAAAACAAGGGAATGACTTTGTTTCTAGCGTTAAGGCCACGTTATGGTCAGTTTGATCGCTTCGACTTTGGGCCAGACAACTTGGGAGTAGGTCCTTGTTCAGTTGAAGTGAGCCAGTTAGGTGGCTTAAAATGTGCCATATAGTTGGCTGAACAGAATGTGCCGTGGTAGATTCCCTTGTAACCACTGTTAACTTTGCGTGCTCTTAACGTTTTACTTTGTTTCTTTCAAAATTCGATTTTCCAATCCCCCGAAATTAAGCTTACAACGAGAGCTAAAAATACGTAAAAAGAGATAAATTTTATAAATTATTTTATTATTAATTAATGTAATGAACTCTTTGATGAATTATTCCTTCAAAAAAAATTATGGCGGAGTTTTAGTGCTTGTTTTTCAATTATATTACATTTCAAGAATTAAAAAAGAATACTTAATAAATTATTAAAAAGAATCTAATGAAGCATCGTATTTCTTGTAAGTTATATAGGGATTTCAAAATTGTTAAAATCAGTTAACTTTTAATTATTGGTGTGTTCGTTTGGCAAAAAAAAAAAATCTTATTTCTTGGAAAAACATGTTATTTTTGGTTGAAAAAATATATTATTTGTATTTTTGGATAATTGAAAATTTATTTCAGATCCAAAAAAAATAATTAAGTCCTAAGGTACCTGACAAGCAAAGTGCCAATATTAAAAACCAGTGGTTTGCTTAATATCTTGCAAAACCAAGGGATCAAACATTGAAAGAAAAAATATATCAGACAGTATTTTTATGTTTACCATATAATATCTTATAATATTTTACAAGTATTTTTATGGGCACCAATATTTTATTAGTATATGTCCCCCATAAATAAAATCACTTAATAATTTCAGATTTGGGCTGGGCAGAGCTGCATCGGGTTAGAATTTGACCATTTGTTGAAAATAAATTTTAGCCCAAAATTTGATTGGATTGAAACCCAAATCAATAGCCAAACTTTGATTGGATTGTCCCCAAGGAGGAAAAGTCAACTAAAAACAAGACTCTCAAATCAAGGGTCAAGACCTCATTGGACCCAACCAAAACACTCCACATCATCATTATTCCAGATGTCACTTCCCTATTGGCTAAATTCATGTCATTCCAACGTGTCAACCGTCAAATAAAACTCCCAGTCCCTCTTACTCGTCTCCAAAAGCACGATCACACCCTTCCCAGCCAGATCCATTAAAATCCCTTCACAAAGCAAAACCGTTAAGTTTCCTCTAGATCTGAAAAAATAAATTCCTTCCACCGTGGCGCCGTCGGGGCCGCAAGCCCTCTCTCGCAGAAAACCGTCTTCGTCGTCACAACCACCTTCGTCGTCAACTCCAGCTGCGAGCAGAGCAGATCAAAGAGAACATTATAGAAAGAATCTGACGGTCGATTATCCATTTTGGCAACAGAATTGGTTCATCGGATTACTATTCTTGATGGCGATGGGATTCTTAGGTCTCGCTCTCTTCCTCTTCCTCTCTATCGATTTCGATCAAGGTTCTCCCTCCTCTGCCTCCGCCGCCTCCTCCTCCCAAAACGTCGAGGTTTTTAAAATTCCTTTTTCACTTATTTCTTATATTTTCTCTTTTTTTGTTTTTTTTCTTAAATTTAATTAAATAAAATGAACGGAACAGATTACTTATGGGACGGTTCTAAAGCTGATGCACGAGAAAACAAAATTTAGGTTACATTCACACGATGTGCCGTACGGTTCTGGAAGTGGACAGCAATCTGTTACCGGTTTTCCTAATGTAGATGACTCCAACAGCTACTGGGTACTCTCTCTCTCTCTCTCTCTCTTACCAACCTGATCTTCTGAAATTGTTGCCGAAAGTTGAATTCGATTTTGCCATTCTTTTTTTAAAGCTACAGTCTGCAATTATCTTCTTTGTTGATGGTTAATCTAATGGATTAATGAACATTTCCAAGTTAATTTTTGTTTGTCTCAATCACAATTTAACGCTGTGATAATACTATTATATTATCGTGTCCTTCACTTAGAATTCTTATCAATATGGTTCAAGTACATGAAATTCTGCTTTTGTTTTGGTTATTACTATATTTTTACTGCCTGGTGCCTTTACTTTGTTTCTTTTTTTCTTGATAATTTTGGAAAGTTGAAGTCAGGTTTGTTTAAGTTTGTTTTTTTACTACTTTTTGCTGTCAAATTCTCATTTAATAGTGTGATAAGAGAATGTTTCATCATCTAATTAAATTTGGGACTATGCTTCGCAGATTGTTAGGCCTCCTCCTGATACATCTGCTAAACAAGGAGACACCATTGCTAATGGGGCAATTATTAGGTTTCAACACATGAGGACCAGAAAATGGTTGCATAGCCACTTGCATGCATCTCCAATATCGGGAAACCTAGAGGTTAGCATTCATCACATGTTTAAACAGCCAGTCGTAACTTGAATTCTCGAAGTTGGTCAATTTTTTAGCTAATTTTAGAGGGCGTTTCTCTTCTTTGCATTCAAACTTGCTGATAATGTTTTATTACCCTCACGGTGTTGGGTGTAGGTTAGCTGCTTTGGAGGAGAATCAGAATCTGATACCGGCGATTATTGGAGGTGAGACTAAAATTTTCCTTTTGTCAAATTTATGTGCATCTTTCTTGTTTTCTGTTTTGCTGGTGCTTCATTACTGGAAAATCCTCTTCAGGCTCATTATTGAGGGAAGTGGGAAGACTTGGAAGCAAGATCAAAGGATTCGGCTTCAACATGTTGACACTGGTGGCTACCTGCATAGTCATGATAAGAAATATTCTAGAATAGCTGGTGGACAGCAGGAGGTAAGAGTGGAAATGTATTTGAATATTAATATAATCTTAGCATGAAATACACAGCTGACCCCAGAGTTGGGATATAAGGCTTAGTTTGTTGTTGTTGTTGTTGTTGTTGTATTAAGTATGAAATACAGATGCCTTGCTAAGTTAAATCATAAGTGATGCTTTTTTTTTTCTTCTTTTCTTTATACTAAAGTTCATTTCATCATATTTTATAAAAGTAATATTTTATATTTGCTAGCTTATCACTAAGTGCAAAAGCTTACTTTGATCACTTTCTAATATACTCTCTGGTTAATATATACTGTTAACGGTGAAGGCAGTTGACCATTATGTGTACTTCTGAAGTTTTATTACTTGTTAGTATGTTAAACCATTTCCACATATTTGTGTAGGTTTGTGGCATTCGAGAAAAACGTGCCGATAATGTATGGTTGGCTGCAGAGGGTGTGTATCTCCCCATTACCGAAAGCAAATAGTGTTTTTGTGTTTAACAGATCACTACTTTGTAAAAGCAGGTGCATGGGTTTTGAATTTGTAGGTGGCTGGTGCCTGTTTTTTAGCCAGCCATAGCCATTTTACGAAATCAAGTAGTGTATTGGCAGAACAACTTTCTCCGCTAATTAACTCTATTACGCATGCTTATGTACCTTCAGACTATACCGATCAGATGTAGCCTTTCTGATGATTAATGAGTTCTATTTTTTCACTAAAAATCTACTTAATTTCCTTCTTTTATATTTTAGCTGTATAATAAATATGGAAAAGAAGATAGATATTGTAAAAAGAAATGAGGTAGTTTAGGCTAAAAAGGTTTGATTGTTTGTTTAAGTTTGAATACTTTCGCTTAGTTTAAGTTGTTTAGGTTTGAAACTTGTTGCCAACAAATTTTTTTGGTATACGATTTGTAAATTCAATTTAGGTTTTCTTGACCCTGAAATGGAAAAGCCTTTCCTTACTCTACACTCTTGTTTCTACAAAAAAAAAAAAAGAACTGAGATAGCGATGAGGATGTTTGTTTGTTGAAGGTCTTTGTTTATATCATCCACTTTCTCCTTTCTCTGTCTGTTGGGCGGTTTGTGAAGAGACATTTTAATATTTTATGAACTGTCTCCTCGAAGTTTTCATCACAGTTTTCTTTCTGTTCTCCTTAAATCTGCATTAAGTTTCTAGCTAGCCATCAGGGAAGCTTTGCTGTGTAACATTTTTATATTGTGAGAAATTATTTAGAAGCCATCCGTAGAGTATTTGAAGAGCAGTAGAGATCATGGGAGGGACTCCTGCATCATTTTGAGGTCTCGATTGCAACATGGCAGAATTGCCGGCCGTAATTTAGACAAATTTTAGTTTTTTATGGTTTGTTTCTATAGATTGTAGTATGCATAAATTGGTTTTAAGATGTGGGTTTTTTATAGTTGCCCTGTTATTATTAAAATTCAACAATTTCGTGCAAGTGGCTTAATAATGGTCTGATGGGGTTGGTTAATAAGCTGGGTTTTATCTCTAAGAGGCTGATCGATCATATTCAATGGTAACAACTACCAGGGAAAATAGCACTGGCTATTACTTCCCTACCCTACCCTCAATGCTCTTGAATTGGGCCTGTCTCTAAGACTCCAACCCATAACTGAACAAATTTCATTATTTCTGTGTCCAGTCGACAAAAACACATCTTCACCATTTGATCCCAACTGCCCTGGTTTATAACTTCTGAGTTGCAATCCATTTCCGCGTTTTTCATTTTTCGAAAAGAATTGCACATTCTCTCTCACAGGCCCATGCACGTTGCATTTGATCTTTGCGACCAAATATTTCACTCACTATTTAGTAAAAGAAAATTGGTCTTACGAATATACAACTCTTCTCCATCCCATCCCATGTGTATAAAAAGTCTCCAATTTATAAAGCTTTGTCGTGTAAGCTGAAATGAATATAATTATGTTTCATAGTATTAAGATATTGCTTGGTTAAGGATTGGTCTTATTGGTGACAACATACTACATTGCTACTCCCTTTCTGTCCATTTGGCATTTGCAATTTGATAAATAAAAAATTGATACTACACTAGTTTTTAAAAATGTGTGGATATATCACACTAATAATGGAGTTCACATGTGCCCCTCTTGGGAATAAGAAAAGCTGTATTTGATATCTTGATCTTATCCTCTTTATTTTCAGTTTTTTTAATGTTATTTATAATGCGAAAGGAAAAAAACAAAATTCATACTTTTTGTTCCTCTTATTCCCCCAAAACAACCCATGTTGAAGCTTGAACTCAAGAACATGTAATGCCCAAAGCAGCTCTAGGATCTTCTTTCCTTAATGTATGAATGAGTACAAAAGAGCCAAACTACATTATAAAAAATAACCTGAAAGTTTCAAAGCCACGAAGAATAAGGAACATGGTAGTTAAAAGTGGAAAAAGGAAGGACAAAATACTAACAAAGCCCCTTAACTCTGTATTTTTTTCAGTAAGGTTTTATGTTTTTATCCTATTTAAATAAGTTTTTATTTTTTGATTTATAATTAAATGAGTTTTTATTTTAAACAAAAAAATTGACTTTTGTTATAGTAGATTTGATTCGATTAAATAATGATCGTAACTTATTTGAATGAAAGGACAAGGAAATGAGAGAGAAAGGGAAAAATAAGAAAAAAATTCTAATTTTTTTCAATCTTTAACCTCATCATCATTGGAATTTAACATGAAGAAATTGTCCATCTGGGTTCATTTGGGTAATGTCGCACTTGAACTATATTCAAAAAAGGGGTTGAGTTACATTACTAGTGCATTAGGGACTCCTTTATATATGGATACAATCATTGCCAAGCAACAAAGATCGGCTTATGCCAAAATCTGTGTGGAGATGAGGGCAGCATTGGAAGTTCCAAGAACAATTGATGTTGAATTGAGAGATGGATCTCTAGTTTCAGTCAAAATGGAAATACCATGGATGCCTCAAAAGTGTTCTCATTGTTGCATTTTTGGACATTCTTATAAAACCTATCCAAGTAAGCCAATGACGGTTGCAACTAAGGTGTGGAGACCTAAAGATAAGGCTAAAGCTACATTGTTGGAGAACAAAAAGAATGAAGGTGCTACAAAGCCATCTAAAAGTAAAAAGAGGAGTGAAATGAAGAAGGTCAAAGTAACAGAAACTATCTCTGCTAATGATAAGACAGCAGCACGAAACCATTTCGCTAAGGCTAATTCTGTGAACAGATTTGCTATATTGGAGTCCATAAAGGAATTAGATACTATAAGGCATGAAATTAGTGATTCTGAAAGAATTATGGATGGGATAATTCTTCATTCACCAAAGAAGCATAGAGTTACAGCTACTGGGATGGCAGATTTGATGAAGGCTATCAAAAGCAAAAAAAAAAAAAAAAAAGACCAATTGACAAAGGAAAGAAGCAAGTAAAGGTAGGCACTTTTGTCTTGGGAGGTCATACTTCTAATTCTCCAATATGAATCGTATAGTATGGAACACTAGAGGATTTAATTATCCTCTAAAAAGAAAAAATGTGGTAAATAGAATACAAATATTAAATATTGATTTGCTTTGCCTAATTGAAACAAGAGTCAAACAGCATCAGATGCAGGCCATACTGGACAGTAATTTCTATGGTTGGGGTATGTACCATAACTACTCAAAAGCATGCAATGGGAGGATTTGGATTTTATGGAGACCACATAGGCAGGTTGACTCACTAATCAAAGTATTACTTGCAATATGTTCTTTGAAAAGTCAGAAATTCTTTCTCTCCGCCATTTATGGGAGTAATAATGGAGCTGAGAGGAAGAGGCTATGGTCACACTTGCTATCTTTACGAGGAATAATTTCAGATAGTCCCTGGATCCTAGCTGGTGATTTCAATGTTATTACATATCCTTCGGAGAATTTAAATTTTAATGGCTCTCAAATAACCAATTCAAAGGTGAAAGAGTTACAGGATTGCATGACTCAGCTAGCATTGTTTGATTAGGTAGTAACTGGCCCTCTGTTTACGTGGATTAATCATCAACAAAAAAAGCCATCTAAGAAGAAAGTTGGATAGAGTATTAATAAATGACTCATGGCTTACTACATTTGCACAATCACAGATGGAGTTCATTGCTCTTGAAGTATCAAACCGTTATGCTGCACTGATAAAACTTAATATGGCCTGGTATTCCCCTTCCAAACCATTTAATTCTTTAATTTTTGGACTAGGAACCAAAAGTTTAAGAATATAGTTGAAAACTCTGGGAAGCTATTAGTGACAGAAAACCCGCTGTCTAAATTGCACAAGAAATTAAAAAGGATGAAGTTGGAGTTAAAAAAGTACAACAACTTGCATTATAGGGATGTAATAGGAAAGGTGTGAGAAAAAAAAAAGCTAAAGGCTGTATAGATAGAAATATTAATAACTACTCCAAGCATTAAAATGATTAAATTTGAAAGAACCTTATCAATAGAGCTGAAGGAGTTAATGGAAATTGAGGAAAATTATTATAGGCAAAAATCCAGAATAACTTGGATACAAGAAGAAGACCAAAACACAAGATTCTTTCACAAAATGGTTGCAGCCAAACAAAAAAAAAGCATGATAAGAGTTCTTATTAATGCTGAAAGGAACAAATTAGAAAATTTTTCGCAAATTCCTAGGAGAGTAGTATCATTCTTCCAAAAAATGATTCATACACCAAATAAGGGAGTTAAAGTTTGTTCACAGGAATTTTTATCGAACTTCTTCAAGCTTCAGTTTCTTTTGAAGATCAAGATGCACTCATAAGACCAATGCTGAAAGAAAAGATCAATATTGTTATGTTCTTTATGAACTAAACGGATACACAGCCCATTTCTTTAACCAATCTTGGTCCATTGTTGGTAAGGATGTTATAAATGCTATATTATACTTTTTTCAAACTGGGCGTATAATTTTGACATTTAACTCAACCATTATCACATTAGTTCCAAAGTGTGCAAATCCAAGCAGGATTAGAGATTACAGGCCCATATCATGTTGTACTATCATTTATAAGTGCATTACTAAGATTTTGGCAAATAGAGTTAAAAATATCCTACCAAATATCATAAGCAAAAGCCAAAGTGCTTTCATAGAAAGGAGAAGTATTACAGATAATGTGCTTATGGCACAAAAAATGGTAAGGGTGTATGGTAGAACTACATTATCCCTAAAGTGTGCTATAAAGATTGATTTGCAAAAGGCTTTTGATATATTGGATTGGAATTTTATCCACAACATTTTGGCAACCATTGGATTGCCTTCAAAATTTATAAGCTGGATCAACAGTTGTATTACAACCCCAATGTTTTCTATATCATTTAGTAGAGGGCTAGTGGGCTATTTTCAAAGAGCTAGAGGAATAAGATAAGAGGATCCACTCTCCCCCTATCTATTTGCTCTAGCAATGAATATGCTGTCAAGAATGCTAGATAACGCTACCAAGTTTGGAGTGTTTGCCTATCATCCTAAGTGCAAGAAGATCAAGCTAACACATTTATATTTTATGGGTGATTTATTAATTTTTGCAAAAGGAATCAAGGATTCAATCATTGGTGTTAAAAAGGTTATACAAGCTTTCTACTTGTTCTCAGGACTGTAATTGCGAAATGAGTGAGATATATGCCATAGGAATAGGTAAGGAAATATCCAATCAATTTAACAAGCCATAGGATTTAAAGTAGGCTCACTCCTTGTCGGATACTTAGGAGTCCCACTAGTCACCTGAAGACTCATTGTAAAAGATTATGCTCCATTTCTTAAGAGGATCACCACTAATATTAAATGATGGACTAGTAAGTATTTATCTTATGTTGGAAAATCACAGCTAATCCAGTCAGTACTCTTTAGCTTACATAATTATTTGAGTAAACACTTTATATTGCCTAAGCATGTGTTAAAAAAGGTTAATTAGCTATGCTCTAGTTTCCTTTGAAAAGGCCAAAAAGAGTTTGCAAATGAGCTAAAGTCAGTTGGGAAGCCATTTGCCACCCTAAGTCTGAAAGGGGATTAGGTATCAAAGACACACTAACTTAGAGCAAGACATGCATGATGATGAACATTTTATTTATTTTCTCAAAAGTAAGATCTATATAGATAGCTTAGATTGAAACCTATGTCTTGAAAGGCAGAAGTATATGGCAAGTTGCACCAAAACAAGGTAATAGTTCAGGCCAGATAAAACTACTTCAACTCTAAACTATTGCATGCAATTTATCAAACAAAAAAATAGTGTTGAGGTGTGGCATGTCCCTTGCAATGGCTATTCTATTGCAATGATTTGGAATGAGATAAGGTCTAAGCAAAAAAGGGTTGAATGGTACAAACTAATCTAATTTAAGTATCATATCCCAAAACACTCAATGATTGCATGAATGACTATACTAAACAAGCTTCCAACAAAAGATAGATTGAGGAATTGGAGAGTAAAGGTGGATGAAATGTGCTACCTAAGTCAACATGGAAGGGAATCCAAGGACCACCTATTTTTTGGTTGTGAATATGCAAAAATGGTGTGGAGAAGGGTATTACGATTATGCAAGATTGACAAGTAGTCAAGGAGTGGATTGAAGAATTAAAATGGGCAGTAACAAGGATGAACGATAAGGCATTGATATCAATAGTATTACATATAACTTGGAATGCTTATATATATACACCATATATGGAGAAGAATTAACTGTAGATTGTTCAAGAATAAAGAAGGAATAAAAGAACAAGTGTATGAATGGATTAAGGAAGTTGTCAAAACTTGATTACATGATTGCATTCGATTGTTGCTAACTCAATCAACAAAATTTTATGTGATGCTTGGAATACAAATAAAGTTGTATTGCATAATAGTTAAAATATGAGTTGATTGTATATATGAAGTGAATGTACTGTAGCAATTTATTGCTTATTTGAAAAAATAAAATACAACTTATCAATAAAAAAAATGTTAGCTCCATGTGGATGAAAAAATTTTCAATTTGCATTAATCATAACAAAAGTCAATCTTTCATTTATAACAAAAATTTATTTATATTCAAATCAAAAAATAAGAATTTATCTAAAAAAATTGAAATAATGCAAAGGCTTCCTTAATATTTTAACTAAAAAACAAAAACCAACAAAAACTCAGTTGGACAAAAGAAAAGGGTTTATTAAAAAAAATTGAAATGTTAGCCAACTTTCTTAGTATTTTAGATAATACTAATAACACACGTACACAAAAGAGATTAATAAGGATAGAAGTGGAAGTTCAGCCCGGTTAAAATGAATGATTGGCCTGATAATGTGGCCCACAGAGTACGCATCTCAAAGGACAATTGTCCTGTTTCTTATTAATTGGCCACAAACCAAAAAGTGACCCCAATTGCTAAATTACTTTTTGATTTTTTAGCTTCGCCAATTGCCGGTAGAAATAATTTTGTTGTGATAATATTTTCTGTGACAAATGTCCCCATTCTCCTTTGCTATCCCTACCCTTTATCATCAAGATTCAAGCTCTTGTCCTTGTGATATTATTTGTCTTGGTAGGAAAGTATATACCATGAATTCCAACTAATTATTGCCTAATCAAACTTTTTTTTTTGTCTTATAATTAAACATTAAATTTAAAAAAAAAATTTTTTAAAAAAATACAAAATTAATTTAAAATAATAATATTTAATTCAATTTAGATTGATTTTTTTATTCAGATCAAATTAAGTTTGAATATTAAATGTATATATTAAATTAAGATTAAATTTTAGATCAAAAAGTGAAAAAAAATCAAATCTAATCAAATTATATATATTTTAAATTTTTATAAAATAAAATAATTATTTTATACTTAAATTTATTTAAATATATTAAAAATTATATTAAAATAAAAAATAAAAGCAAAAAAATTACTTAACAAACTGAATTAATAAAATTTAATTTCGTTTGGTTTAAATAATATAAAATTTTAATTTGCATTCAAATTAAATTTTAAAAATTTATAATTTTATATATTATCTAAAAAAATTAAATGGAATCTGATCATGTATCACTTCTTTCCAAATGATTTAAATTTAAAACGTCAAAATCTTGAATGATTTTTAGCTTTGCCAATTGCCAGAAAAAATTACCTTCCATTATTCATTCAAATGGCCCAACACAATTCTGAACCAATAAACATAAATGAAAAAAATTGGTGTCCCATTTAATGAAAATTTCCACCCATATATTCATGTTTACCAAACAATCCAAGGCAATTCAAGATCTGCCATAAGAGACCACTTCCCAACCCTGTCCACCCCTCACCCACTCTGTTAGATATTCTCGTAACTGAAACAGAAATAGATCTCTTCCCTCACAAAAATAAATAAATTTGACCATCACCATTTTTTTTTTTAAATCAATGATTAGCACCGGCATCATGCTTCTCATTGGAATGCACATGGTTATCATGTAAATGGAAAAAGTTCCATTACTTTTTTTCCTCTTTCATAGGTTTTTTTTTTAATGTATTTGTACCTTCACCAGCCCATACATGTCTGTCTATGGTTTAAACATTAGATTTTCTTTCAATGAGAGGTGGAGAGTCTAGATGAATAAACAAATTGGCAGAATCTAGTAAGAAATTGCAAAGATAATGCGTTTAATTCAATGATTTGATTAAAGATGAAAAGACATCGATTTAATTCTTGCTCAATGATTGTGAAAAAATATGAGAATTATGCCAACTATCAATAGAACTATGCCAAATTAAAAGAAAGAAAAAAATGAGGGGTAAGGTGGTAACAATGCTGTGATTTTCATTTGCTTGGCTAATCAAGATTTGGTAGGCTGATGCACCATGGTTGAACCCTTTCCAAACATGGGGTGGCCATCTACCGTTCCCTGAGTTGACAAATCAGGTGTACTACAGTCTACACACAACAAGGAATGTTAAATTCAAGTACTGAGAATTCATTTCAAAATCATGAATATTTTTCCTCGTTTTGTGTTTCATTTCCTGTTAAATTGCCAGAATACAAAGCTTCCATTGCCATTACGTTGTCAAGGAAAAGACCAAGCTTTGCTCCTCAGCTTGAAAGGAGGATGACTCATTCATTTTTGTTGTATGTTGGAGCAAAGGGACAGGAAACGGGAAAGGAGTCGGGATTTATATTTTCTTTCAAAGTATGGTAACATGTGGGGTTCAATCAACAACTGAACATCAAGTGGCAATAGTGAAGGCTGTAATAATATAGTCTAGCTACCCTGTAGGTGGGGTTCATCTTAGAGTGGATAATCAAAGATTTATTTCACTGATTTTGCATAGTTGGGTGGTTTGATAATAGCTACAAAGGAAATCAAGAAAAAAAAACTCTTCCCGATCAATTTTCACATGCATTCCTAGCCTACAAAGTCCCCACGCTACTAGGATTCGTTCATAGCAAAGATAGAAAATAAATACTACTCCATGCTCTCAGCAGTGGTTGCCAAAAACCAGCCCCACGGCTCACGTCCTTTATACTCTCTCAGAGATTCAATTATTATTTCTTACCATTATGCTTATGGGAAAGAAAGAAAGAAAGATGTCAGTGGTTGCAGCTGGAAACAAATAGATCAATTATAATCATATATGTTTTTGGCTCTATCTGCTTTTACTGCAGCCTTAGCAGATTCTTTTTTTTTTTTTTCATCTTATTTTGTAGAAATGAATTCTCATGGACTTTGGACCAGTTTTGCTCATTTTAATATCGTTTGATCATCAACCTAACACCCATAATCCTCAAAATTCTCATTCAAATTTTCAATTTTATGGGTGTCTATGGATCCACCAGTGGTATCAAAGTTTAGACCTTAATTCAATAAGTCATCAGAATTATGCTTCATACACTAATAGATTAATAATCCAAGTTCCAACCCTTTATCTTTAACATTAAGATTGGAATATTCAGCTTTTGAAGGTGGATTTTTAATTCAATCACCTCTCATCCCTAAGTAATAAATGGGGAACAAAACACAGGTGGATTTTTAATGAAGTATTCATTGTCTCTCTAACTTGTCTTACCTTACAGCTGCAACTATATCCAGTGATCACTGCCTTCAGTGGTTCTCATTGACAACCGTAAGAATACAGTTAGACCAAATTGTGGTTGCTTTGCTATTACGATTTGGATTAAGCAACTGAGATCTTTAAAGATATGGTTCAAAAACTTTCATTTGGATGAATTTGTTGCCTATGAATCATGATGCAGATCTTTAAATGTAGCTAATAAAATTTGTGATTGTCAATGGAGCTTTATTATGATGTCAAAGAATTGAATTTGAAGCCAATAAATTGACCGTGTGAGAGAAGGATAAAAAAAGCCTGATAAAAAGGACAAATTTGCTCTGCAATCTTGCCTGAACGGTAACAAGTCTGAGTTTTATCATTATCCTCGTGCAATCACATTTCCATATAGAATGCATACACGAAAGCCAGACAACAAAATTCAAGTACAAGATAGGAGATAAAGAAGAGTGAGTGAGTGAAGTTTCAATAGATAAGGACTTCATTACAAATATGACCGTTGTAACCCATAATGAACATATATGGAATAAATACACCGTCAGGGTAGAAAATTTAGATAATTTTTTTAATTGCAGCCAACAACTCAGCTTCTTCTTCCTTCTGTCCCCATTTGCTTGTTATCTCCTTTTGATCTGTAATTTGAAAATAGATTACTAGTTAAATTAAATATATTAATATGGCTCAGTGAACAAGGTCAATGCAGAGGATAAATTAAACTAGTCCGGGTTCCCACTACAAATGCAAAAATAGATTGAATTCAACTCTGTGAATCGAGAGATTCCCAATGAAATGATCAGAGATAGAATTAAAAAAAAAAAGAAAAAAGAAGTGTTTACAAGGGAGCAAGAGATTCCCAGATGGAAATTGCAATGAACGGTCCTTGTTTCTGCGTAGGAGAAAATGACGGACAACTTTCTTTTAACAGGTGCGTGTGATGAAAAATAAATAAATGAGAAATTAAAAGGAGTATGGCCAAGGCTTTGGACAAAACAGTACCATTGAGGTTGAAAGTGACTCGTTGATTTTAGGGACGTAGAGATCCAGATGGCAAGAACACTAATCTAATTGACAATATCAACCCTCGGATTTTCCTGTTTTGCTTGCCATACCACTGACAGCCAGGCATCTCTTGGAACAAAGGATTTCGTCCTTCAGAACCGTTTGTGAATTCATGGTTCTTTTTCTTTTCTTTTTTTTTTGTTCATACGACTTCATGGTTCTTTATTATTCAGATCCGGAAAGGTTCATTTTTTAAAAACTTTAGCAGGACATTTTATTTGGCAGGTCTTATTTTTATTCAGACCAAAGCGGATCACACATGGATGAATTTGAAGTTTAGAACTGAGGCAAAACGGGCTACTTGGTCATACACCAAAAGAAGAAACGTTTTCTAGTTTCTACAAAGCTTATGATAGGACACTGATGGAATATTGACAATGGCTATATCATACGTTGACAAAAGCTACAAAAATAAGAAAAGCACAATGGGATTTTAGAAACAAGACTAACTACTGAATCTCTTCTTCATTCTCCCTTCAATGCAAATTGCAATGGCCAATCCGTTTTTGGTCAAAAGGGTAAGCTCTTTGAAGTTGAGCTTGCTGTGAGGGACTTGAAATGTTCTGATGGAACAAAATCTTGTGGCAAATTGGCCCTGTTGACAATTCTCCTGATATTGTTCTGCAAACTCTGTTGGACCAATTGTTTTACAGCTTTCTTCTCCTCGCTCATCATGCCTTCTTCTTCTACCAAGCACTCCTTTCCATTTGGGTTTGTTGAAGAGGATGAAGACCCGCAAATAGGGGCAGACACTGCTGCACTCATACTCCCACCAAAGTTCTCTGAGACTTGCTTCCCTTTGTCTACTCTCAGGACCTCCAAAATTCTAGAAGCTCTCTTCTGTGCCAACGTACTACCCAAAAGTGTTAGTTCAAGCAATAATGAAACAATGCCTGCATCAATCATGGCCCGTCTGTCTCCATATGCTTTATGTGCCATAACCATGAGAATGTATGATGCCTTCTCCTGGCAACCTGGCGAGTCAGTCCAATTCAACACATCAACCAAAATTGGGAATGCTTCTGGGGCAGTACCAATGCCCTTTCTACCTTCCGGAGTGGATACTACATTGCTCAAAATTGAAAGAATTCTTTCACTAACTTCCATGTCTCCCAAGGCATTCAGCAGAAGGGGTATCAAATCAGCTTCCAGAATGAAGGAAATGTTTGATCGGGAAATGGATAGATTATAAAGAGCTCGAAGAGCATCCTGTCTTGCTTGAGACCTACTTTCTCTGTCCAAAATCTTGAGGGTCTTTACCAAGAAAGGAATAGCCCCTGAAGATCCAATGATAGGCTTATTTGAATCCAAGGCACTCAAGCCTAGGAAATTTGCTACGATGGCATCTGAAACTGCCGGGCTTGGTGCATTTGGGGATTCAATAAGCTTTAGCATCTTATGCACAGCCCCTGCTTTAAGAATGGCTGCTTTGTTCCTGAAAAATGGTTTTAAAAAGAATCAAATTTAATGTAACGAAATTAAGAAATTTCATGGTAACAAACAAAGCTGTGTCCAGAAAATGTCAGTTAAAAAGATCAAGGCAGAAAGGAAATAAATTGGATTAAAGACAAATTAAATGCAATATTTAACAAATCCGGACCTGCTTGAAGAAAACAACAGGACTTTGAAACATGGAAAATGACGTGTGGAGGCAAATTCCCTTCAATCATTTCAGACATTTTTATTTTCTCTTAAACAAAAAACCCAACAATGGGAAGAAAACAAATCGATCAAAAAACATAAGAGAGCAACAAAACAAAGCAGAACAATAATGCCACATTAAGATTAAAGACATAAAAACATGAATAGCAACATTAGAAAAAGATTTCTCATTTTAACTCACAAAAACCAATAAAAAAAGAAAATAATTTGTTTTAAAAATGGGAAATTCAGGAAACTCACGCGTCATTTCCGATTCCTAGATTAAGCAAAGCATAGAGAGCAGCGATCTGTGAATCAGAATCTTCAAAATCAAGCATTGCAACCAATGGCGGAATAGTTCCGAGCATGGCCAAAGTCACTCTGGCTTCAGAGTCTTCTTTAGTAAGCAGCCTTATTCTACTCGCAGCTTTTCTCTTGTTTTCTTCTTCTTCCACTTGCAATTCCTTAACCACCCGCTTCAACTCCTCCAAAGCTTCCACTTTCTTCTTAGTCTCAGCATCAGTTTCAGCTTCCGCTAAGTTCAAGAGATCCGCTAGCTTCTCTGGCTTGCCACTTTTGTTGGGTTTTTTCACTACTCTGTCTGCTGTTTTTGTTTCGTTGGACTCTTTCAAGACCGACTTAATCGTGGTGGTGGGAGGCGGAGTAGGCTGAGGGGCGGTGTCGTTGAGCACTTCTTGCACGAGTTGGTGGCGGTGGCGGGAGCTGGCGCCGCAGCTTACAGCATCGAAGAATTTTCTTCGGAATGCGGCGCCGGAGAAGGCTGTCCATAGTCTGAAGTGGTTAACGGAAGTGGTGGTGGTGGCGGAAGGTCGGTCGAAGACTATGGATCCGATGTGGTTTCGGTGACACTTAGCCATTAATCTTTTGTGAAGAAAAAACCAAACTTTACATTTGCAAAAGAAAAAAGAATGTAGCTTTGAGAGAAGTGGAATTGGAAAGAAAGAAGAAGTTGTTCTTCATATTAATTTCTCTCTGTTTTATTTGTTTATTTACTAATAATTTATTCACTTTTTTCAGAGCTCAAAGATAGAGAGAAAGTGGAGAGAGAGAGAGAGTGAACGAGTTTTTATTTGTTTTTTTGGTTTATTTATTTATAACCACATCGGCCTGTCAGAAAGAAAACAGTTACAATTTACAAAGAAGAATAGGAAGAGTGAAACTAAAAAACACCGTAAACCGCAAGGGGCTGTTTGGAATTTGGATTGCAAGTTTTTTTTTTCTAATCTTTATTGCTAAATTTAAAATTTTAATACTTAAATAATAGAGCATACAGTAATATAGGGTGGGTATGTGTAACGGTGACGATGGTTAAAATTGAATTAAATTGAATTTAATTTTTTAAAATGATAATATATAATATTATAAAAATTTAAATTTAATTCGAATTTAAATGAATATTTTATCTATTTGATTTATTAGTTTTTATATTTTAATTGTTTTATTGTTATATATTATTTTAATAAAAATTTTAATATATTTAAATAAATTTATATATAAAATAATTATTTTATTTTATAAAATTTTAAAAAAATAAAAATTAATAAAAATATATAATTTAGTTTAATTTGTTTTCTTTATCTCTTGATAAAAAATTACTATTTAATTTTAACTTATATATTTAATATTCAAATCTAATTTAAACAAAATAAAAATCATTCAAACTAAATTAAATATTATGATTTTGAATTAATTTCTAATTTTTTTCATATTTTTTACTCACCCCTACGAGGCTAGGTATGTGGCTTTTTTTTATGATTGATTTTTTTTCAATAAAAGCAAAATTAAAGAAATTTTAAAATTAGATTTTGCTAGTGTATCTAAAGAGTTTTTTAAAGATTATTATTTAAAATAATATTTTCATTCAATAAATAATATATCAATAAATAACTTTAAATTTTATCCTAAAATTACCTGTTAGCAAAACTTTTTAAAATGTAATTTTTTAATTCAAAAATATATTAAAAAGAGTACTATACTATTTACATTTTAGGGTAAAATGGATTTTTAAAAATTTTTGAAAATAATATAAACAATTAAGTGACGAAACGAAACGAAACCCATCCTTTAATTTCCATCCACCAAGGAAACAAGAACATCGATCAAACAAAAACTTGGTTTTTTTAATCAATAATTAAAAGAAACTATTTTAAGGAAAACGATAAAGGAGAGAAGCTTGTAAGAGACGCCATATTTACATTGATTTTGTAAAAAGAGAAAGGGCGTACAGACATAATTTTTTTTTTTTTGTTTGTTAGTGTAGGTGGGGAACTTGATAGAGTGTCAGACGATGGTACCAACGGCCATAATGCAATAGCTGCTGTCCTCTCATCTTAGCCGTCCAGCTCAGCGAAGAAGCTTCCTGTGGGCTCCACTTTCAGGTAGGGACTTTTAACTGATTGGGGGATGTTACTTAATACGTTGGTAGACAGACGTATACAAGAATTATACGGTGAAAGGGAAAGTACCTGCATTCTTCTCTAACTTCGATCAACCCAATGTGGCATCGACCAAACCCTGATTCTCGTCTCTTTACTTTCTGAACTCTTCTTCTTTATTTACCTTGTCATGGTTACTTTTTTCCTTCAATTTTTTTCAGTGAAAGAAAAATTGTGACATTTGATTTCGAGAAGTTTGAACTTAACAACGCTTAAATGTTGAATTGATTTACACAAATTTTTTTAAATTAATATTTAAAATTAAAATCCAAATGTTTATAATTTTTTTCTTTATCCCTTATTACAATTTTTTTATAAAAAAAAAAAAATTTAATGCTAGCAAACAAACATAAAAAATTTTTCTTTAGAAAAAGTTGAAAGTCATGGGTTGGAAGCCGACTACTAGTGAATAAAAGAGTCCAATTCCAGCCACATCCAAGGCCAAGGGCTAGAAGAAGAAATAGTAAACACAACAATGCTACGGGCTTTAGATATCATCACGGGAATTCTTGCAGTGATTGCATGCGACCATCGTGTTGCATGATCCATATTGTGTAGGGTACATTTATATAGGCAATTGGCCATTGAAGCTTTTAAGAACACAGTTTTCATGTAAAAGTCAGGTAAGTAGCAATTCAAACAAAGCCTCCGACCCCATTTTACAACTGAAATCTTGAGATGAGTGAGTAAAGTGAAGCGAAACTCTTATTCCTTGTATTTAGAACTCCGAAGGCAACATTAATCATTTGAAACCATAACATCTACTGGAGAACTGCTCTCCAATTTCTTAATGCTAATTTTTCTTGAAGAGGAAGGTCCTTTGCTGACGGATCAACAATGATCGAGTCTTCCTCCTTAAAATCTCCTCTCAAGACTCCCATTGCAACTTCATTCTGTAGTAATTGTCGTATCACCCTCTTAATTGGCCTTGCTCCAAAGTTGGGGTCAAATCCCAGTGTCCCCAGAAGTTCAACAGCTTCCTTTGTGTAGTGCAATTTTCTTCTGTCTGAGTCTCTCTTTTAACCGCATCATCTGGACATGGAATAATAATTCAGATTGTTATGAGAAATAAAATTATCGTGAAATCTTATGCAAATCTCTTGATTGATAAGAATATCTATCTCAGCTAAATAACTTACAACAGCACAATTGCAATGATATAATTCATTGATATTACTTTCTCTTTCTTAAAAATTCTGGCGACGACAACTTTTGCTCTAACAAATTTCTACAGAGAGCGGTTTGAGCTAAAACTAAGCCTTCAATTTGACCTAAAGATGAATATCTAACTACTTATGATTCATCACTCACCAAGACATAAGGCATGAAAATCCTCCTGCAGGGATAATTACTGTGCAATGTAGGTTACATACTCTCTTTGAGAGAGATGTCCAGAACCTAAAATAAAGATCTTATTTAGCATTTACTATTTCCTATTCTGAGGCTTCCAATAATGCTAAATCAAAGTTAACTACTAATATATTACCTGTGGCAGATTTCTCATTAAGAAAACATTAGAATATATATATATATATATATATATATATATATATCAAACACCAAGAAAAGGTATTATGTTAAGATTAATCACCTGTATCTCAACTATTTCACTAATATCTTTGGAGTCAAGAGGCCGGAAAACAATATACTCATCAATACGGTTCATGAATTTGGGGCAGAAAGTCTGTCTGGCCAACTCAACAGCCTGTTTTTTCATCACATTGTAAGCGGCATCCTTGCTTTCATGTGTACTTTGGTGAGTTTCCGGAATGTAGTTAGAACCTATATTTGAAGTCATTATTACTACACAATTCGTAAAACTAAGAGTCTTTCCATGAGAATCAGTTATCCTTCCATCATCCAACAATTGTAGCAAAATATTGAATACATCATGATGAGCTTTCTCGATTTCATAAAAAAGAACTACAGAATAGGGCCTTCGACGAACAACTTCAGTGAATTGTCCACCTTCTTCATAACCAACATAGCCTGGTGGGGCTCCAACCAAGCGTGAGACCGCATGCTTTTCCATGTACTCACTCTTATCAGTTCTTACAAGAGCATTCTCCTTGTTAAAGAGGAAACTAGCTAAAGCCTTTGTAAGCTCAGTTTTGCGAACATCAGTGGGGCCCATGAACATGAAACTACCTATTGGACGATTTGGGTCAGACAATCCTGCCCTTGAGCGCCTGATTGCATCAGCTACTGATTTTACAGCAATATCTTGGCCAATTACTCTCTTATGAAGTTCCTTTTCCAGCAAGACTAGCTTGTCCCTTTCTGACTGGTGGAGGTTTGAGAAAGGTATGCCAGTCCATTTGCTAACAATTTCAGCAATATCAAGATCAGTAACCTCTTCGAGGAGCAAGGATTTCCCAGTCTTTTGGAACACAGCAAGATTCTTTTGAGCCTCTTCTAACTGATGTTGAAGAGATATTAGAGTTTCATATTTGAGCTCAGCAGCATGACTTGGGTCATACTCACGCTCAGCAGCTTCCATTTCTTGATTAACTCTATCAATCCATAAACACCAAACAAGGTGAATCAGAGATTAAGAAATATGAGGGTTATTTAACAGAGCAACAATGACATCAATTGAAAAGTTACCTCTTCTTTTATTGATCAGATCCTAGTCATGAAAGCCTTATCATGATCCCACCATTCAGTTAATTCTTTCTGTTTCCATTTGAGTGAGTTCAAATCTTTTTCCTTCTTGATTAACCTTTCCTTGGATGCTTTATCAGTGTCATTTTTAAGGGATAGCTTCTCCATCTCCAACTTCAGAATAGCTATCTATCTCGTCCAACTCTGTGGATCTTAAGCTTTGCAGCAGCTTCATCAACAAGGTCAATGGCTGAAAAAAAGAAAATTAGAGCTTTAAAGAATCACATTTACCCAAAAATTTTAAGGCTGATAGATAATTAACATAAATCTATCCATGTAGCAGATATGAAATTTCCCCTTTCACTCATTACTTTACCTTTGTCAGGCAGAAAAAGTTCTGTTACAAAGCAGTCCGCAAAAACTGCCACAAAAACATTCTGTGAAAAACGTTCTGTTACCTTTGTCAGCCTTCTCAATGTATTTCTATACTCATTCAATGTAGTAGCTCCTATGCATCGCAGCTCACCTCTCCCCAAAATTGGCTATAACAAATTCCCAGCATCCATTTCACCAGTTGTAGCCCCTGAACAAATTAGACATAACCATCTTTAACACATGGTTAAATGCATCATAAATCATAACTTCTTTAGAATTAGAAACCAAGCCCTGTTCAAATCAATATAAAAACATATCAAGAGGCTAAGATACTAAGTTTTACTAGTGCATTCATCTGCATTGTACTAGTTACATGCTTATTCCATGTAGCACACACGAATTCTGAAGGGAAAACAATGGTAAAATTTTTAACAACAAAATTATAATATTTTAAGCAATAAATGCACGGCACAAACCTGCACCTACAACCGTGTGAATCTCATCAATGAATAAAATAATCTGCCCGTTTGAAGCAGTAACTTCCTTCAGCACAGCTCTCAACCTTTCCTCAAAATCTCCATGAAACTTGGCACCAGCCAACAAGGAAC